TGAAAAACACAGGGTTTCGCACCCGAGAGTGTTTTCACCCGTGACTGTACGCGTTCCCGGACTCTTGCTCCCACAGGCGATGACAAAATGTTGTTGCCATGATGACATGATGGTGATGGCAGGATGAAAGGAGTGCCCCTGGACATTCGTCCCTAACTCAGAAAATTTCGAACTAAACTTCCTTTGATAAATTAAGGTATGTAAAAACCAGATGTAACAAAACGTTGACTTTGGTTGCACCTTGCGCCTTGCGCCCTGTTTTTTTTGCAGAATGACCTCACTTCTATATGCATGTTTAAAAAGATGAATATTATATTATAACATATTGATCAAATAAAATAAAGTAATATAATATAATGTGAGATAATACCATATGATAAAACATAACACAATATGAAAGAATATAGTTTTGTAAAATATAACATCATATAATCATATAGTTCAAGAGATGCTAAAAAACTATGCTAATATACGCTATAATCTATGATCAAATATTTGATAGAATTTAGTTGAAAAAAAATAAAAAAGAAAATATTATATTACACTTAATAAAAAGGTTAGAAATAAATAGATATAATAAAAGAATGTAATATCATAAACGGTAACGCATCCAATAAACTTTACTGTAATTAAGAATTAAGCATCAAATAAAACAGGATACAATACAATATAATATCATACAACAATATAACACAATACTATGATTTATAGCATAGTATATTTGCATACCTTTTGAAAATAAGATAAAATAATATAGCAAAATGCAACATAATATTTCAAACGTTTAATGTAGTTTAAATAATAAAGAAGCATAAAGAATAAAATGTAGTATGATATACAAAATTCGAAAGTAATATAATTCAAAATATTATAATATAGTATAATAACATACAATAAGATTCAATAAGATATAACATACTTTTTTAAAACTCCATAAACCATAGTATAACATAACGAAAAAAATAACATGAGATAAGATAGTATTTAGTTTGAACTAATATTCCTGTAATAAAACATAATACAGCACAATGGGATATAATATACTAAAATGGAATGTCATATATTGCGCATACCTACAGATTCCACAAACATGCCAATATATATATAGATACATAGGTATGTAATGTAATGTAATGTAATGCCATGGAATGTAATGTAACGTAAACATGTAATGCAATGTAATGCAATGCAATGCATTGTAATGTAATGTATTGTATTGCATTGTACATAATGAATGTAGTTAATGTAATGTATGTAAATGAAATGAATGTAATTTACGTAATGTATGCAATGAACGCAATGAATGCAATGAATTTAATGTATGTCAGTAATGTGTGTAATGTATGTAATGAATGTAACGACTGTAATGGACGTAAGATATGTAATGCAGGTAACGTATGTAATGTATGTAATAAATGTATGTATGAAATGAAGTAAATGAAGCAAATGAATTAAATGAAAAAATGAATGAATGAACGAATGAACGAACGAATGAACGAAGGAACGGATGAACGAATGAATGACTGAACGGCTGAACGGCTGAACGAATGAATGAATGAATGAATGAATTCATGCATGATTGATTTAATGAATGAATGAATGAATGAAATGAAATGAAATGAAAGAATGAATGAATGAATGAATGACTGAACGGCTGAACGGCTGAACGAATGAATGAATGAATGCAATGCAATGCAATGCAATGCAATGCAATGCAAGGCAATGCAATGCAATGAATGAATGAATGAACGAACCAACGAACGAACGAACGAACGAATGATGAATTAATGAATGTGTCAATCAATCAACCAACCAACCAATCAATCAATCAATCAATCATTCAATCAATCAATCAATCAATCAATCAATCCGTCTATCTATCGATGTATGCATGTATGTCAAAAATGTTATAACACACCATCCACATTATGTATATACATATATATATAAACAATTGTATACGCGCAGACCCGCACACCTGAATCTCTTCAACCATCACGATGGCACTTTGTGTGGGCATGATGGTATGGATCAAAACAGGGGGACAGGGTTTTGACTCATTCCCACATTACAACGGTGTAAAAAAATGTTTTATTGAAAATGTCACAGTCACAAAATTGTATTGAGAATCGCCGCACCACAGGTTTATCCCATTTCTAGTTTTCTAGTTGCAAGTGGGTTTAAAGCTGCTGAATTACCAATTGAGCAGTGTTCAAAAACCCTGGGTTATTGATGATTGTAGGGCCTATACTACCCAATATATACTGGTGATTACAATCCAATAGGGGAATCCCGTTCTTAACCAGCCAGTATACTGGAATGACAGAGGGATTTTGAACACGGCTCAATTGTAACCCCAGACTCAAAGTTCGAACCTGCTGGGTTTGATGCTTGCAATGCACGCCTCAGGGGCAGAGTGGAGGCGGTGTATGCTCAAAATGGGATGGCTTCATGTAATGATTCGAATTGTGGTAGACCGATAGACCAAATATTTTAAATGGTACCACAACCATCCATATGAGGTACTTTATCGCTACATATACATATATATATATACATACATACATATATATATATACATACATATATATATATATACATACACATTATATATATATAGTCAACTTATACCAAACAAAATGCCGAAAACAGAATTTCAATGGTACCAAAACCATTCTTGCTGTGGCCATGGATTACCTTGTGGTATTCAGCGTGAAGTCGAAAATGGAGGACCACAGGGTAGATATGCCCGAGGTTCAGCCATGGTTTGTTGCCTCTACCCTCTGGTAAACATACAAAAAACTATGGAAAGTCACCATTTTCATTGGGTAAATCCACTATAAATGGACCATTTTCAATAGCAAACTGTTAAATTATCAGAGGGTTTCTGAATTTTTGATGCTTCAATGCCCGTTTGTGCAGCTCAAATGGGGGTTTGTTCAATTGGTTTTGCCACATTCATTTTGGGAAAATGGCACCCCTATTCATTTCATCTGGATAAATTATGGCGATCTCACATCGCGACGTCTGTAAGGATGGTTTGCGTACGGGTAACTATGCCCAAAAGGCCTCAGTTCAGGTTAACACTGGTTTATAATGGTTTGTAATGGTTAAAAATGGGATTCCACTGGTAGGGAATGGGGAATTGGACCAACAAAACTAGAGTTTGATGGAAACTTTGATGGAAACGATCAACATTTGTTTTGTTGGGTGTTTGTCACGTGATATATCCCCACAATATCCTCATGATATTTCCACCAATCCCATCTGAATCCTAATAACATCCCGTAACATCCCCATAAATCATCATAAATCGTTACATATATATATATTTAAAATAACATCTCCAATTTTTTGGTGATTCATAACCCCCATAGAAATTTCTATTTTCTTCGTGGAAAAAAATGCCGCAGGGATGCCTGGTGGCACTGGCAACGGCGGCAACGGCCTGGGCCTAACTGGTTGGTCGGGGTAAATAAACCGGATGGGGCCCTGTGGTTCGTTAGCTAAGTTGGTGCAAAGAACTACCATCTGGTAAACTAACATAACTATGGAAAATCACCATTTTTAATGGGAAAATCCACTATAAATGGCCATTTTCAATAGCTATGTTAAATTACCAGAGGGTATTTTATAAGTAAATAACAACCATAGTGCACGATACGCTTACATAACTATATTTGGAATTATTTGGATGGGGGAAATCACAACAACTTATAACTGGAGGGCCCCATCCTGTAGTATAAATGGAATAACCGAATAAGCCTAGAAATTCTGAACTTACCAACCATGCCAACCAGGCTCATTGGCCACTATGTGGGATGATCCTCTAGTTGTACCCCCGTATGAGCAATGGCCGCGTGAGACACCAACCAGTATGGAAAAAAAGCCTATAGTAATAGGGAGAATGACTAACCACTGGATTGATGAGCACACTATTTTCACACAAATCCATATCTTCCTATATATATATAGTTTATATAAATTATAGCCCATAAATAATTTGGTTGGTGCTTTCAGATGTCTAAATTGTTTTCGCCCTAGAAACGGGATCCCATTTGACTTTCACATTCACCAACCAGCGATGGTCTAAGATGATGGTTCTTGTGTTAAACCCAATGCCATAAACCTTTAATTGCTTATGGTTGAAGTCCCACGAATTCTTGGTAGGTCATGAGGCTGGTTTATGGCATAGGGATTTACCACACTACTGGTACAAGGGGGTCATCGGATTATCATGGAAGGCCAGGACATGAGTTGTGAGATTGTTTCAATCTTCAGGGCAATGATTGTATGGCCATATCCAGTAGAATCAACATCACAAGTCTTGTAGAGTGCATCAGCATCGACAAATCAAAGCTGCAGCTGTTTCATAATCCTGGAGAAGAGATGAGAAGAGCCAGAGGATTTGAAGCTTCAAGCCACTCAGCCAAACAAAAGGCCCATGCCTATTCGTCGGCATTTGTCGGCCAGGTTAATTTCCATCTCAGCCACTCTTCAACAGAAAATTATGGATGGAATATGATGGAACGAACATCAACAGCAACACACATTCATATCAAAAGAAATATTGGATGGACATTTATGGATGTTTTTCTTGTCATTCATCTAGCAACATCATTGACATATATTCACATATATTCATTGGATGGAGAGTTGCATGGAAATCATATATACAATCCATATCAAAAGAACACCATTTACATGCATACATACAGTAATTATACATATGATTAAAAAAACCGTTATTATTTCAATATTTGGCTATGCATAATTTTTCACATGAATTTCTAGATTTAGTATAGGTGGTTGTATACATATCATATTCTCACCAAAGTGCTTATACACATATATCTAGATGGTATAGGTGTTTTTACATATCATATACTCACAAATTGTGAATTATACAAGTACATTAACTTCTAGATTTAGTATAGGTTTTGTATTCACATATCATATACATATCATATTCTCACCTTTTTTGTGCTCACGAATCTCATCTTCCAATCCATCAAAACCATGGCGCCGGTTGACGAACTGGAAGCCTTGCTGCGGAAGCTCCCTGAGAGCTCCCAGGAGACGGCGAGCGCTGTGAAGAATGGGGGGCTGGGGGGAAAAACCAAGCATTGGATGGAGAAATGGTGGGAAAAACCTGGAAAAATGATGAAAAATGGTGGTTTAAGCTGGAAACATGATGATTTTTCACCATGTTTAAGTTCTTAACCATGAAAAATAGATGGGGTTTCACCTGTGAAAGAGTGTGATTTCATGGGGATATGATGGGATATGATGGAACATGATGCTTAAGAATGGATAGAAATTGGTATTTAACATTTAACATTTGATGGGTATATATTGACATATTGTCAACGGTATAAAGCAGGATAATACGCCAAACATTTTTTGGTTATATATATATATACACATCCCATTATATCCCACTATGTCCTAGTATATCCCAGCATATCCCATTATATCCCAGTATATCCTCACTATATCCCCAAGAATGGGAAATCCTATCAACATGGATGAGAACTGGGGGTACCGTCCATGGATTGGAAAACATATGGCTGAAAGCAACATGTTTTGGGCTGTTGCTGCAGCACTTTTCTTGCGGGAAAGTGAGCTTTGAAGCCACGGAACGGACGAACCTACTTTAGACTTGCCGGAAGATGACCAAAAAGCTGTGTTTGCAGCTGGTAAAATGTCCCATACCCGCCATAGCCTTCTGTAATTTACCAGTTTGCTATGGCAGGTATGATATTAAATTACCAGAGAGTACTTGGTGCTTCTATCCAGTTCTTTTCTTTCTGGATGTATTGTTGGTTGGCACATAATGAATTTATTTGGGCTGTATCCCAAAGCTTGGTAGTGTTCGCGATTCATCCTGGAGACCAATTCACGGTACCAGGAGCTAGTGCAGGAGAGCTACGCCCAAATAGGCGGGCAGGGCAGTTGCAGGTGCCATGGTTTCTGGCAGCGAATTCATGGGAGAAATGGGATGGCTGCTATCCCGACATGATTACCCTCTGGTAAACGTTTACATAACTATAGAAAATCACCATTTTTAATGGGTAAATCAGATAAATCAACTATTTCTATGGCCATTTTCAACAGCTTTTTGTATGTTTACCAGGCCGGGTACCTGGCAGAGTTTTTTGCTTCGTTTCATGGCCTTTCTAATGGAATGCCGCCCATCAGTTGGGATATGACACCGAAAAATATAGGTTGAGTAGGAGCTGTTGGACCCAAACATTGACAGTAAATGATTCAGTTAGTTTTTGGGAACATTTCCGATTGAGAAATTGAATCAGAATCTATCATTTGCCCAGAATCATGGGCATTTGGAATTTCCAGTCTCAAACTTTGGCCCACTCCATCTTCACCAAAATTCATGTACAGTTCGACATACCCTCTGGTAATTTAACATAGCTATTGAAAATGGCCACTATAAATTGGATTTTCCCATGAAAAATGGTGATTTTCCATAGTTTTTTGTTTGTTTACCAGGTATGTGCCATGGCATCATGGTCCCCCCTATGGGTGTCCAACTTGCGAGCCACAGGGCATGAGATCTCCCACTGGGACGCGCCTGCTTTGCTCCTGGATGTCTTTCTGCCGGGGGCACCCGTTGTAGGTGCATCTCAAGGCAAGCCTCATGGCCTGAACTGTAAGAAAAAACCTATGGAAAAACGATGAAAAAACCATGGCTTTCGGAATGTGTTGAGTATGAATTGAATATGAACATCGGGGATTGGAGATTTTTTCGAGCGAAACAACATCCTTTTGCTAGCGATTTTGGCGATTTTTAGATTGATGGAGTTGGTGATTCCAATGAGTTGGAGGTACAACTCCTTTAACCCATCGGGACTCGTGCTATTCACCCATCAGTCCCATGGGCTCATTTGGAGATATTGTGAGAGTGAATGCAATCATATACCACCTGGCTATAGATGGTTTACCGATTAAACATGGTGATTTTCCATGGCTATGTTAGTCATAACCAGAGGGTAATATGAAAATGATCAAGAACTGCATTTTAGGAGATCCTATGTGCCAGACTTGGCGAAACTGCAGAACGTATGTGAACCCGTCAAGACGTAAGATTTGATGATATTTGGAACATGTTGGAACATTTGGAGGTTAGAAAAGATCAACCCATTGATTGGGATGTGTTTGGTTCCAGGATGTTCCAGGTGTTGAGTCGAAGCAACAATGGTGTCAGGCTTCCATCAGCGAAGCGAGCACTTTCCAGCTGGCTTTTGGCGGCCGCGATCTCTGGGGCAAAGCGTTCTGCAGGTCTTGCTCAAGGTGTTCGAAGCGCTCAGCTTTTATGGAGTTTCGACGGGTCAAAATGTCAGGCTTTTTCGTGTCTGGACCAGGAAATGCAAAAAACATCGATGTCCTTTTCCCATTGGTTGGTTGGTTAATAGAGGGTATACCAAACCGGACATGATTGAAAACATCAGGGCTGACTTGTCACATGGAACAACTGCCACCGGGATGCCGTGACAGGGCGTGGATGAATGCCATATCTCTAGATCCATGTGCCAGGAGCCGCCGGGTCTTCGGGTCTGAATCGGGTCTTTTTTGGGCCCCGCTGTGGAAGAATTACTGGTGGACTCCGGTAGAAAAGTTCGGGGAATCTGCAGGATGTGGAGAATTTCCTTCGCATGGCCCGGCTACGTCAGTTGTGCAGTATGGCAGACTGCGTTGCAGCTTGGATATCAGAAATGTGAGACTATGAAAGGGGAAAAATGGGATGGGTTACTTGTATGTGCATCCAACTTAGTATGTGGTTATAAGTTGTTTATAATCCATATACTGTATATATATATATATACACTATTATATATATATACACACATAATAGTATATATATATATAATAGTATACATATACAGTATATATTATAGGATGTATTCCATATCGAACGGTTTTTTTCCACCCATTTACGATTCGTGGGGCGATTTGTACCCCCAAGGAACAAAGATGGGTTTTTGGTGCCAGGTGTCGCACCCATTCCACTTCAAGGGAGAAGTTCTTCAGATCAAAAGCTGCTTCCAGCTGCTGAAGGTGGGCGAGCAGGGACCCAGGGAGCCTGAAACCAGGACATGGCGATGGAACACATATTTAACTGAGAAGCCATTTCTTTAGGGAATTATCATCTATTTTTTAGTTTAGGGATGATTTTTTGATCTCTTGCTCTCCACACTTTTGCTTTTCTGCCTTTTTGCTTTTCTGCTTCTTCTCCGATTTTTGGCTTCTCTGAAATTTTCTTTTCTGGTTCTCTGCTTTTTTGCTTCTCTGAAATGTGCTTTTCTGCTTTTCAGATTTTTTTATTTCTCTGCTTTTTGCTTTACGTCTTTTTGCTTGCTTTTCTATTTTTTTTCTGCTTTTTGGCGACTTCTTTGCTTCTCTCCTTTTTGTTGTTTGCTTCTTTATTTTTTTTCCTGCATTCTCTGTTTTTAGTTTTTCTGCTTTCTTCCCTGTTCTTCTGCTTTCTGACAAGTACAACTACAGCTACAAGAACAACAAGAACAACAAGAACAACAGGAAGAGCAAGAACAACAAGAACAACAAGAACAACAAGAAGAGCAAGAACAACAAGAACAACAAGAATAGCAAGAACAACAAGAAGAACAAGAATAGCAAGCAAGAACAACAAAAGCAACAAACGCCTCAAGAACAACCACGTCCACAACGAAGGACTAAAACTTAGAACGAAGCTGTCTCTCTGCGTTCCCTGGGGCGCTGCGGCTCCCCCCCATGCCCCCGTCCAGCGGTTTGTTTTTTGTTGCTTCGTGTTCTCATTTTGATATGTTTTGGTTTCTTTGCTTTGGGGTAAAGACCATGAGGCCCAGACAGGCTGAGATGTACATGATCCGGTTATATACGTAACAAGTTAAGGCTTTGCCTTGCTTCAAAAAGCACCTGAAATGGAAGGTCGAAACTCTCCAATGTCTCATGTAAAATTGGACAATTGAAATCTGTCACAATCCTGCATATACCCGGACCTGCAAGATGGAAAGATCGAAATTCCAAGAATACTGCACATACCATGCAACATGGAAGGTTGAAGTTCCAAAATGCATTTCGAACAGTTGCAAATAACATGCGACATGAAAGGTTCTACCTCCCAAATGTTGCAAATGTCATGCAAAATGAGAGATTGCATCTCCACCATGAAGGTTGACGTTCGAACGTGCTGAACATATTGCAAATACGATGCCAGCTGCTTTTTTGCTTCTCTGCTTTTTTTTGCCTTGATGCATTCAACAGCTTTCTGTCTTCTTGGCTTTGCAAAGTTCTGGCTTCTTGACTTCTTGGCTGTGTTGGTGTTGACCACAAGCTCAACGGCAACCACAGCCACAAGCGCATTGCAAGCACAAACACAGCATGCAGTTGTTGGTGCGCTCTTCCATCACCACCACCACCACCACCAACAACAACAACAACAGCAACAAGAGCAACAACAGCAACAACAGCACAAGAGCAACAACAACAACTGCTACTACTGCTGCTGCTACGACGTACCACTACCACCACCACCACGACCACCACCACCACCACCACGACTACTACTACAACTGCAACTGCAACTGCAACATCAGCAACAACAAGAAGAACAAGAACAAGAACAAGAATAAGAACAACAACAATATCAAAAAAAGAAATGAAGAGGAAGAAGAAGAAGAAGAACTTCAACTTCAACTTCAACTTCAACAACAACAGCAACAATAACAGCAACAAGAGCAACAACAGCCACAACCACAACCACAACCTCTACAGCAACTACAACAACAAGAGCTATTACAACAACTACTAGACTACTACAGCAACTTCAATAGCAACTACAACAATTACTACAACGACTGCGACATTTACTACAGCAACTGCAACAAATACAACAAGTATAATTGCAACTGCAACTGCAACAAGAATGACAACAGCAAAGCACAAGCTACACCCGACAACTAAGAACCAACAAGAAACAGCAACTTGATGCAACTTGGAAATACCATGAAAAATGGATCAAAATGGAAGATTGGTATTTCTAAATTGGTACCCTCTGGTAAACTAACATAACTATGGACAATCACCATTTTTAATGGGAAAACTCACTATAAATGGCCATTTTCAATAGCGATGTTAAATTACCAGAGGGTATTTCAAAATTGGATCCAATTGATACCATCCAATCTAAGATTCCAGCTCCTGAATGGTGCAAATAGACCCCACAAATGCTGCAAAGTGAAAATCTCCCAAGTGCCAAATGCTGTCTTGATTAGCATACCAAATGGACGCTTCGGCAGCTCCAAAACGAATAGCAAATAGCATGCGAAATGGACGGTTTTGTCTTCCAAATGCTGCAAATAGCCCAAACTGTTGCAACTAGCATGCAAAATGGAAGTTGCGAGCTCCAAAATGTTGCTTACCTAGCATTAGCATGCAACATGATAGGTTCCAGCTCCCAAAAACGTTTGAAATAGCTCGTTCCGGATTTCTTAATTGGACTTTTCCAGAGTTCCGCCATTTTAAAGACCAGGTGAAACAGTGGCACGACGAGGGGGAGCACAACTTGGTCCTGTGTTTGCTGGACATGGATGGTTGCAAGGTGGGTTGGCCATTAGAGTCAAATATGGCAAGGTGCTGGGTGTGTCTGAAATATGGCAATAGAGGATATACACCTCAGATGACCATTTACCCTCCAGTAAATTAACATAGAGCCTGAAAATCACCAATTTTTAATGGAAACTAGTCTTCCAACCCCTATCTGCCAGGGTCTATGTTGATTTACTGGAGGGTAATGGGTAAAATATGGTAAACGATTTTCAATTGCGGATAGCCCACTTTCGGACAGACCCATATAGGCATGAAGGGTAGGAACAATTCGCCACATGTCATGTGGAGTATACTAGTAGCATAAACGAGGCAATGTTGCCTGTAGGGACAGGGGCCGTTTTGCACCCTTTCCTGTGCAGAACTTCATTTCTTCTTTACCTTTGATGTCACATTTTGATGGGGGATCAAGTCAGATGAGCATGTTTCATGTGCAGATGAGCATGAATGTCCAAACATGCACAATTTTTCCCTGCATCTTTTTGGGCGGCGTTCACATAAACAGGAACACACACACATTTTTAAAACACATGTACTAATAAGTACAACCGCTTTGAAATGGCGATATAGACAAGTGTCACCGCCCTGTGTGTGTTTGTTTTCATCCAACCTGTAGCTTGGAATGATGTTCTTGAGACGAATGTTTTTCGAATGGGATGAAACCCCCAACCAGATGACCTGCTTTTGGCCACGACTTTTTTCTTGAACATCACCGCCTTGACTTGCATTTGCCGCAAGGCACCTTTTTTCCTTTCCGGCTCTGTGTTGGAATGTAATGGTGTTTGCCGAATCAACAAGTTGTTTGTCATCCATTATTGTCACTATTGTCATCATGATTATGATATTTGTACACCAATATGACAATAATAATAGCAAATTTATGATACAGTCATAATATCTATACACAATATGTATGATTTCAGGTGAGGAAACGATCGCTGATCGCTGCTTCCCTCATGAAAAAACAGCCCACCTGAATCAGCGTCACCGCCAGCTCCGACTTTCGTCCCAAATCTCAGAGCAGTGGCCGATGCTTGGTGAGTTTGGGATGCTCCCAGAGACCCCAAACAGTGTGGGGGAGCGGGAGGACAATGTATGATAATGTGGATGATGATGATGATGATGATGATGATGATTGTGATGATTCTAGTAATTGCCCGAACTTTAAAACTATTGCGATGAAACTGACAAACCAGATTTTCCACGTTTGGCGTAGGGATTTCCAACCGAGGAATCCAGCCTTGTTCCCAGTTCCCTTGAGCAACAAGCGCTTTGGCGGAAGGGCATGGTTTTTATTGGGCTTTCCATGGGGGATCCCAATGGTTGGTTTATAATGGGAAATCCTATTACCCTTTGGTAATCTAACAGTTCGCTATTGAAAATGGTCGTTTATAGTTGATTTACCCATTGAAGATTGTGATTTTCCATAGTTATGTTAGTTTACCAGAGGGTATATAAAATGGATGATTTGGGGGTACCCCCATGGATTGGAAGCCTCTCTCTCCATAATATATATGTATATATATATATAGACGCTTCTCTTCCCAGGGCCTATATTGTTGATCTTAAAAGCAACCGTACCAAACTTCCTTTGGCAAAACTAAAGCACTGGATGTGTTTCTTTTTGTTGGCAGACCGTGATGACGGGCCATGTGAGAGAGCCTTTCCCATCAAATTGTGGAGGGTTGGCGCATCTTCAATAGAATCCCACTGACTGATTATGGTGGTCACAGCTTGCTTGAACACATTTTAAACCTCACCATTTTCAAATTGTCGTCATATTAAAGATGTGGTGTCTCACTTGTGTGTATACATACTGTACTGTATATATGTATGTATGTATGTAATGTAATGTAATGTAATGTAATGTAATGTAATGTAATGTAATGTAATGTAATGTAATGTATGTATGTATGTACATAAACAGATGATATAGACATGATACTATGTATATAGACATTAAATTATATATAGACATGGAATCATGAAATTATCTATACACGTTGTATGTAATCATATCATGAACAGCTTTATAATATTTGCACACATTACATTTGGGCATATTGTATTAAAATCAAATTACGCATAAAAATATTCTACATTGATACACCTTTTATATTCACACATGTTGCATATACATATGTATAGATATATACACATGTATACATGCATACTCTATATATGTATGCATGTTATAGATACACGTACTGTATCATGTATGCAGATTATGGATACACACTATGTATACCCATTTTGTTGCGTACAACATATATGCATATTCTATATACACATTGAATGACGCACATATATATATATATGTAGATAGTATATACATGTACATATCTATACACATATATGTATAAGCTTTTGTAATATATCTCATGTATGCATAACGTTTGCACACGTTTTTTTTAAAATAATTATTTTCATATGTTGCATTTTACCTAACATAGAAGTCAATCTAATATGTACACTATAGACAATGATTATATTTATATCTAGACAGTATGTGTAGACACATATTGGATACAAATACAGCATCTACATCATCGACACTATATACAATGTATATATAATATATACATTATATACATTATGTGCATTTTGCACACCATACATTATATACAGTACCTTATGTACAATATACATTATCTACATGATGCATATCATGTACATGATATACATCAGAGCCGTTGTATATACCTATATATATATATATATACGTGAGTTTCCCGGGGGCACCAGGATAGAAGTCATGCCATCGCTCCATAGGTGCATCATGCTGAAGTGCATGTCCAGTGCGATGCGACGTGAAGCCCACCTTCCGCGCGGCTGTGTTTGTTTGAGCCATCGGGAAATCCATGAACAGCAGGATGGGAGCCACTTGGGCGATCCATTTTTCTGGATTTTTCTTCCACTTACCCTCTGGTTATGACTAACATAGCCATGGTATAGATGGCCTATTTATAGATGGTTTACCTATTATAAATGGTGATTTTCCATGGCTATGTTAAATAGCCAGATGGTAAAAGTGACCTTATGATGGGAATAAAAATGATGGAATATGGTTTTTGATTTGGGTTTTCACAGTGAGACTCATCCGAAATTTCACCATTAGATTAACATTATGTATATTTTGGGATAGAACCGCGAAACATGGTTGCATTCCCATCGATCTTAAATCGGTTGCACCAGGACGCTGCCACGACTTAGGCTACTTCTTCAGTATCTCAGTGGATGGCACCCTAAACTCTTGGACCTCCCGCTTGCCGTTCTTAGGCGCAGGATTTTGGGGTCCATGATTTTGGCGTTGAGATAACAAAAAAGGGAGAACATTTTGGTACCCCGTTGGATGCTAAAATAGGCATTCCGGACAACATCTAGACATGACAACTAGATTTTTCAAAGAGTTTTTCCTCAGATGTTTTGCCAAAATGTAGAATCACATTTTAACTTCAGATGTTTTACATGATATGTGAAGTACAACTAGATCTTTTGACACCGTGTTGCAGTTTTTGTAGGTCTTGTCAGGGTGCCCATCCGTTAGCGATGGAGGCTTCACCTGCACGAGTCCACAGGAGATTCAAGCGAAGAGGCAGGCGACATTTTTGGTCCAACGGAGATGTGGAGATCTAAAATTCATGGGAAAATCTAAGGAATCTCAGGAATCAATGGTTTTTTTTTCCAATTGTTCGAAATCTGAGGAATCAATGGGAAAATCCATTATTTCGACTGGGTCATTTTCAATAGCGAACTGTTAAATTACTAGAGGGTAAGAAGTGGGAAAATCGAAGAACAAGTGGGAGAATTGAAGAATACGTGGTAAAATCAAAGAATAAGTGACAATAAGTGGGAAAATCTAACAATAGCTATAAGAAAATCAAAGAATAAGGGAGAAAATCTAACGATAGCTATATACCCTCCAGTGATCATCAGTAATCTAACATAGCTATGGGAAAATATGGAGCCTTTAGTTTGATGATTTACCTATTATCGTGTTTTTTCCCCATAGGTCTTTTAGTTTACCAGAGGCTTCTTTTTTGAGGATCAAGTTGATCTGCTGCAACTAGATACAACATCTGATATTGTTCCCATGAACCCTCCCCCCAAGGGTGCAAGGCCTTCGGGCCATCCCCTCCCCCCAAGGCCTTCGGGCCCCCCTTCCCCCAAGGCCTTCGGCCCCCACCCTCCCCCCCCAAGGAAGACAAGAACACAGAAATTCTGCCAAAAAAAATTTCTCGGTCGGCAGGAAGCATCGAGCGAGCCTTAGGGAAGGATGCTCGGAGCAGGTGGCCCTGCTCTAGGCGTCTTTCTTCTAGGTTCCTTGATGTGGAACGTCGACCTTTCTCGGGGGCCCGGTGTAGGGAGGGCGCACCCCACTTCCTTTCGCCTCCACTTCTCTTCAGCTCCTCTTTCCTGCAATCTCGAAACTATGCCCGTTTTTTTGCCATGGTGTTTCGGGTTGACATGAAAGGGTTGAGCCCCAAAAGACAACTTCGGATGTTTTTTTGGTGGATCGATAACCACGATTTGCAATTTTTGGCTTTCCCTGTTTTCAGATGATATGGTTGTTGCAGTTTATGACACATATAATTTGGTGCCGTGGCATATTGCTGGACAAATGCTTATGCAGTATACATACCCCTAAGCAGGCGACAGAGAAATTTTGGCGTGGGCGTCAACAGTTCGGGGCACAAATCGCCTATCATCTTTTAAGCACTGCGATGTGGGATACCCTGTGTATATACCGGATGAATGCATTGCCTTTGTCCAGCAATATCCAAATGAATCACCTGGGTCCAGCCTTCCCGATCCTCGCTCGCTTCCTGTCGCGGCCAAGCAGTGGCTGTGCGTCGAATCCGGCGCACCAGCCGCGTCGATGGATGATGTGAAGGCAGCCCTGCAGTCATTATAAGTTGTGTTAGTCTGCATTGGTCTGCATTATTCTTCGACACGGGTCATTATTCTCGATGCCCCTATTCTGCCGATATTCGATATTTGTGCATTATCTTCCAATATTCGACGTTCTTCTCCACGCCGCTCGGGCCTACAAGAGTTGGCACTAGTCTGCACCAGTCAAGCTGTTTTTCTTTGGTGGGATTTGTCGCTCCAATCCACCTCGGTCGCTGATATGGGATATTGCTTTACTATCTTTACTACAAAATCACCCAGGAGTGAAGATACAAGTTAAAACATGTAGCAACTGACTAACAAATAACTGGTGTTCCTGCTGAGACGACTGGGGTAATCTAAATACATAGAGCAATAAAATATAGCTACAGATGCGAATTGTATAGACAGACCCAATACAAGATATAGTGATATACCGTGCGCTGTGATACATATAAAGAGAGCGTATAATTGAAGCGGCAGATCGCGAGCGATATATCGATCTGCACGTATGTATGTGTTCTATAGGAAAATGCAATCTAGATATATAGATAATATATGCCACTTATCTTTAATTACACCTATTTGCGTTGACGTAGCATGGCACAACTATAGTGTATTGACCCTTTCATGATTTCAAGGATGAACAAGCAGAATGCATCCCGCTGTCAATGTGATTCGCTTTGATTCGCTCTTTTTTCGTGCCTCGCTTTTTTCTTTTTTAGGTGTATCTTCATCGCTTCTCGGCTGAACTATGGTGCAGAGTGGATTTTCGCATGGCGAGGAGTGCCGGACTTGCATTGTCCCTTTGTGTGTTCCCTGTGCAGTGAACAACCATCTCAGAACTGAACCAGACAAGGGGAATCCGGCTGTTTCATCGAGGCACAATGCTGGCCTCAGAAGGTGTTGGCACGATGTGACTTCTGCCCATTGCTCTGAATTTCAAAGCGATTAGATCCAAACTCCAAACAAGCGCGAGTAAACGATGGAATTTGCTACGACTCTCTTACTGGGTGGATGGTTTTGGTTTAGAGTACTTGTAAGTACTTGCAAGTACTGCTACAACTAAGTTATAAGCTGTTGTAAACTCCCCAAGTCAGCTAAGAAGTTTTTAAGTTTTTTTTTAGGGCACCTACGACCTACTGAATGTGTTGTTTTCGACAATGTTTCAAAAATAAGCTCAAAACATAATGCTTCCTGAAGCAACAAAAACTTAGGGCACTTATAAGTTGTGCAAGTTAAACTTAGGGAATTTTGCATTTAATTAAAAAAATCGTCGATTGCTAAGTTTTCAAATTTACTTGTAAGTAATGCAAGTGCTTAAAGTGCAACTTACTTATAACTTTCCTAAGCCAAGGCCATCCACTCAGTAAGGGATCCAAATGTCCCGTCATCTAATCGGTGACACGTATGAACGGGTTTACCAAATTCCCGCCATCCCTACCTACTATCTAGCGAAACCGCTGTCAAGCAAATGGGCTTGGGATAATCAGCGAGGAAAGAAAATCCGGTTGCACTTCTCGTGTGTTTTATTTTTGTGCCGGTTGTAGCAAACAATGACGGTTTTGAAGACTAGAGTACACATGGAAAGGGTTCCGCGTGACAAGCCGGTTGACACGCGAACGGCTCTACAAGAGACAGCGCCTTTTTTTCTCAGATTTTATTTTGCCGGTAAATTCGAACGGTCTGTTCAAAAGTAAGCGGTAAACTTGGCCGTGACATCCGCGAGCCATTGTGCTGGCGCATCGCAGCATGCTTGACACGCAGAGGCGGATCGATTCTCTTCGAGCAGCGCAAACCTGTTGATAGAGGTATACCGTGAAAATTGCCTGTGCTATCCCGTCGTGCACGGGTGGATTGCTGGTCCATGACCGTGAAACCTCGCTCTTCAAGGGAAGAAATCAGAGGAATGTATTTCTCGGCCTCTGTGCTAGCATGTCAGGTGATGAGCCGTATTTCTTTGAAATACCCGTCTGCAGCAGAAGTTCTGCTCGCACCAAGATGACTTGTGTTTACCGCAAGCGCGTGTAGCAAACGCTCTGCTTGTCAGACGCGAAGACGCACTCCTCAGGGACAAGAAGCCTAGCACGGCCTTCGCTATAGCCTGTGGTGATCTCTGGTGGGTCGCTGAGGCGTAGGAGGCTATGAGCCGTCTACTTTCGCCGCACGCATGCACCAAAGGGCTGCTTGTGTCCGGAGGTAATCAACCATTCGGCGTGTGCAGAAGGCGGTTTCACACACGTTGAACAAAGCGGATCAAAGACCCATGGAGCCCTTTTTCTTCGCCTGGAGCTGTAGACACAGGGATCCGCATTCAAAGCGAGAGCTACTGAAGCTGGGTGCAGCTGGCCGCCCGCCGCTACAGAGGTCGGCATTCCCATCGCCTTTTGTGACCAGGCGAAGCAAGTGAGCTGACGGAAATCCAGCCTTCGCCGGCGTCGGTTCCGGCGAGGCGCTGATGTCCAAATCATAGCGGGAGTTGGTCGCAGTAGTGCCAACTGCCTCGCAGCATCCTTGCATAGGCATAGGCCAATGGCCGAACATATACATGTCCATCCATATATAATATTATTAATTGTAACCCCAAATAACATAATTAGTTCTAATTCCTCGACAATCACCCCGATAACCCTTCTAACAAATAATAATGGATATAGTAAACCGCATAAATCCCCCATTCTCGTGCATGACCCCTCGTGGTCGAACGGTGATTCCCACGGGTGTGGCATATAGAGGAAAAACTGGAAGAGTTTGACGCGCTATGCGGGTTCGTCTGTCGTCACCACATTCCCCGCTACATGTGCAAAGACAGCGAGATGAGCTCCGCGTGGACCAGCGGCCGAGGTAGAGAAAAAAAAGAAAACGGGAAAATCCCGTACCAACAAAATATGAGCAAGCTGTACCGTACCACAACTGTTGCTGTTGGCAGCCATGGCAAGAAAGAAAAAAAGGATAGGTACAGTGGAAACCGCGCGTGCAAAGAAACTGGACAAAAGCATGCGTTCTGTAACAGGAAGGTGGACAAACATCACCTCGAATACAAGGGAAAAACCTCGTTGAGACCTTTGCCACTGTTCAACATGGAAAAACAAGAAGAAGAAAGAAAGGCTACCGGAAATTGAAATGCCGCGGAGGGTAAATCTCATGCAATGCAATACCTCCCAGTTGCGCACCCTAATCCCCACATATATATATATATATAGATATAGATATAGATATAGATAGATATATATATATATATAATATACCCTATATAGTTTTAGAATAGAATTTATAGCCAACTGGGAGGCATTGCATTGTATGAATAGGACCCCTAGTCTTGAAACTTGAGGGATTCTCAAGACTAGGGGGAAGTAAACCCTCGGTACCCGTGCCCTAGTGATTTGGCCCCGTGTGGTATCACATCATACTCCGCCGGGTCAAATTGCGAGGGTGGTACCAAGGGTTTACATCTTAGCGGCCGGTGCTCGAGCAGGGAGGGGATGCCTGGAGCGGCGGGCCACACGCTCCGGGGACCGGGGATCCCCAGCAGGCAAAGAACAAAGAATCGGAATTGCAGATGACTTTCTAAGGGATTATGGTGATTTCCCGTTTCTATGCGAGTTAACTGGGGGTGAGTTGTTCCATGACGTATCTTGTGGATTGTGCATTTTGTGTACACTAAACTGGAGTCCACAATTTTGCCCGAAAATGCTCCCCTAAAAACGATCAGTGAAGTTTGGATTCATGGTGATTCATGGTTCAAAAAAAGCTGCGCCAATTTGCAGAGGGGTAGCCACCTGCCGTTGATCAACGAGTCAAACTGCAGAGGTCATTCCAAAGAAAAGCTACAGATGTTAGCCGTTTACATCAGTGTACATGTAGATGTTACCCAATATTTCATTAAATGAGATTCTTACTTGGTGGCTCATCCCACTTAGTAAGTGGGTTATAACCCCAGTTATAAATGGGATAAGTAGGGTTAATCCACTTATAACTGAGGTTATAACCCACTTACTAAGTGGGATGAGCCACCAAGTAGATGGTTAGATTACTACACAGATATTCAGCTTTCTCTGGTTCCTTCTGCTTAAATTTTGACACATTGCTCCGGCCACAGTTGATTTCCATGGTTTCCATGGCTGAAAAAGGGCCATGGCTACTGTGTTTTTTTTGGTAGACACATGACATCATGAGGTTTATATAACTAATATAGCTATAGTGAATACTAGGATTTGTAGATATATCTGTATATAAATATAAAGATCTATATGATATATCTATAGTGAATGGGTTTTGTAGACCAATAAACATCACGGGGCCCTCATTGACTCACCTTGTATACTGTGTTACGTGGGATTTGACCAGGGCAATTTTCCATAGCTATGTTAGTCATAACCAGAGGGTACCATGGATGGTTTACAACTCCGTCACCATGAAAGAAATTCGAAAGATCATCATCTTGTAACTCTGTATGTCTTGCTAGTTGGGATTGTGGTCCCCCAATTTTCTGTCCGAAAAAAACTTGGGATTGGGCTCCACGGCTCCACCATCAAAGAAGCTTATCATCCCGATATATCCCACAGCATCCAGCTATGATCATCGCATGATGATTCATCCCAATGTATTAATGCGAACATCACACCCTTTCAACCGCAAACATCTTATATACAGTATATTAGTATATATATATATATATCATTAAGCATTGATTATCCCAAGCACTCTTCCCAATAAAAAACCCAGTTTGATTCCAAATGATCCAATTCCTGATAGCCTTCTTGCAGATATTTAACTTGGGTTTTTGCCATCCCCATTTTTATTTCATCAGTTGGTGTATATATATATATATATGCTCAAGCTAGGAGCTAGGCCCTGGTGGGGGGGGGGTGATATATATATATATATACATCTATCTATCAATCTATCTATCATATCATATATATATATATCATAAACATTATTACTTTTTTCCGAGTTCTTCCCACCTTTTTCACTTTCTTTTTCCCACCCCAACACACATCCAGGAATGATCATCCCAAGTTCCTCCCAAGTTATTCAGCCGATCATCCCATATTCCCACGTTTTTAGAAAAGGACGCCCTACATGTTTCACAAAACAAATCCCAATAAAACATACCATTAATGATCATGAATCATTATATAATCATCCCAAGTTCTTTCCAGTATATCCGAATAAATCCCAACAAACAATTCCATATATAAAAAACCAGGTATTTCTTTTGTCCCGCAGTTATAGGTGGGTTTATAAACCATTTATCATCCCAAAAAAAATATATATATATATACCAAGACCAAAAAACAATAGTGATTAATTGTTAATAATCCCAAGTTCTTCCTCCGTAAAGCCTGGCATTTCTTTGGCCACCCAAATATGAGTTGGTTTACAACCCCATTAACTATGGATATCTCTACCATAAACCCTAACTATAGTTCTATCCTCCATATACCTACCATAAACCCTAGTCAACATGGTCATTATCATCTACCATATAAAACCTAGTCAATTAGCTATAGTTGTATCCTCCATATATCTGCCATTGACCCTATCATCCAAGAATAAAACCTAGTCAATTAGCAGTTGTATCCTCCATAGCAAAGCCTAGTATTGTTATATCTACCATAAACTCTAATGGACATTGCCACAAGGTGGTGCCCCCCCAGTTATAAATGGGTTATAATCCCATGAAAACTAGTTCGATATATCACCCATAAACCATAGTGACATTGGACTTATAAACCAACTTAGCTAACTATGGGGCACCACCTTGAATGGCATTATCCTCTGGTAGTTTCCGTTTTTTGTAAAAACTATGGAAATCAGAATCAATATCTGCCATGAAGACTAGTTGTGGACGCCAGGTATTTCTTTGAAAACTAGTTCGATATATCACCCATAAACCATAGTGATATATCACCATGCAGGGCACCCTGCAGGTATTTCTTTGGTGATTTGCCTCACAGTTACTGCTTGGGTGACTCTGTGCACATCGGCGGTGCCGCCGAAGCCTGGCTGCGCCGGGGCGCTTCTCGTGCTGCCAAGCTCCGCGAAGCCGTGGAGACGGGGGCAGAACGACGCCTGGCGAGAAAAACGCCGGGGAACACCGGGGAACACCGGAAGGTGGCGAAGATCTATGGCTTTGGTGGCTGAAAATGCTCTAAAATGATGGAAAAATCTTGGAAAAACCTGAGAATTCTATGGTTTGTGGGCATGAAAACCCAATTGAGATGCACTTTGAGGGGTTAATCCTCAAACCATGGTCAAAATTTGTGTAATTTGATCATATTCGGCATGGTCATCAATCCATTACTTTATATATATATATATAACTATAAATATGTACATAAAACTATGATATATATATATAACTTATACATATATATATAACTATTATATATATATATATAAAACTATTATATATATATATGTAATATAATATACATACACACACATACCCATTATGTTTGGATTTCCATGATGGGATGGATGACAATACCACATATACTAGCTATTGACCATGGCACGTAGGCAGAAGACAGAGAATCCACCAAAACAATGTGAGTTGCTTTTCTATCCCACTAGCTATCCAGATTGGTGGATGGTCATCTCCCTAAAAAAGGGATTTAGAATGGCCAACATCAGGATTTCTGATGGTTGGATAAACAAAAAACCATGCTTTGCGAATGGGCAAACCCCTAGTGTTTTTGGCGAATGGTTTTTCTTCCCCTCAAAGTTGTGTCCAGTGGCAATGCGACAGGAACATGTCATGGATGAAGTCGGTGCCCTCCAAATGGATTGTGGCTGTTTTGCTACGAAGAATCACAGCATTCATGTGAATCCTGGTCTTTGTTTTTCTCACTTTTCATCCAACTTGTTCAGTTAGTGGGATGAGCCAGCAAGTATTCACTCTGGTAAACAAACAGTTCGCTATTGAAAATGGACCATAGAAATAGTTGATTTACCTATTAAAAATTGTGATTTTCCATAGCAAACTGTTAGTTTACCTATTAAAAATGGTGATTTTCCTATGGTTTTCCTATGGTTTTCCCATTAAAACCTCCATTTTCCATAGCTATTTCCCACATTTCGCTGCGCTTTTTCCACCCGAGATGTCCAGGTCAGCTGCTGGTGCCCTTGCCGGATCACCGACGAGTGGCGCCCTTTGTTCCACGACCTGGCGATGTCTTGGGATGTTGCTCGGCAGAGGATTCGGAAGTCGTTGCGATTTCGTTCCATTACTGTTGCTGTTGTTATATATTGTTATATATTGTTATTGTCATTATTCTTCTTATGATTGCTATCATCATTATCCGTGTTATCATTCTCTTCAACAATATCCTGGCACCCCAAAAAGATAGAAAGTGCATCTTCACTCAAATTTCATGGGGACTTTTCTATCTTTTTGGGGATTGACACGACATCACCACGTGAGGTCGCTACCGAAAACGGCAGGCTGGTGGAGTAGAGGCACCGACCGAGCGAAATCCGAATCACCAGTTGGTGACTATGGGGATGCCTGTGAAACACTGGTGAAATTTCAATGGTCAGGATATCCACCATCTACTGGTGACATGTGGATTTCGCCATTTTTATCACCGTTTTGAAAAGGGCCATGTGGCCATTTTTAAAGGACGAGTGACTTTGGGACACATCCCATGTCCCCCCCTCAGGGCTCGCAGATTTCGCTGTTTCTGAACGGATCCTTGGCCTTTGAGTTCGACCTCACAACGGAGCTTCCCAGTGGAAAGCCGCTCTATGCAGCTTGGCCACGTTGGTGAACGGATGTTACCCAAGGGTTGATGAATGGGGGATAGAACTGATATCACTGCTATAACTGATACAAACATACATATATATATATACATATACATATGTACACTGTCTGTATGTATGTAATGTAATGTAATGTTATGTAATGTAATGTTATGTAATGTAATGTAATGTAATGTGTATGTAATGTAATGTGTATGTAATGTTATGTAATGTAATGTTATGTAATGTAAGGTTATGTAATGTAATGTTACGTAATGTTATGTAATGTTATGTAATGTTATGTAATGTTATGTAATGTAAGGTTATGTAATGTAATGTTACGTAATGTTATGTAATGTTATGTAATGTTATGTAATGTTATGTAATGTTATGTAATGTTATGTAATGTTATGTAATGTTATGTAATGTTGTGTAATGTAATGTAATGTAATGTATGTATGTATGTATATATGTATGTATGTATGTATGTATGTATGTATGTATGTATGTATGTATGTATGTATGTATGTAATGTATGTAATGTATGTATGTATGTATGTATGTATGTATGTAATGTATGTAATGTATGTAATGTATGTAATGTATGTAAATGTATGTAATGTATGTAATGTATGTAATGTATGTAATGTATGTAATGTATGTAATGTATGTAATGTATGTAATGTATGTAATGTATGTAATGTAATGTAATGTAATGTAATGTAATGTAATGTAATGTAATGTAATGTTATGTATGTATGTATGTATGGTATGTATATATATATAATGATATAACGGTAGTTAAACGGAATGATTTACAGCAATGTTCAACTGGGCACCGCCCTGTGCTTGAAGATAGCCTTTTCGGGCCCGTTCCATGGACTGGGGTTTTCCATGGCCTCACCAGGCCGTGGTAGACGTGTGTCACTGCGTGTACCAGGCCCGTTGGAAACGTTGGAAACGCCACCAGGGTTTCAGCTGGTTTGATTTACGAATGAGCTGGGATTTGTAGTGATGTAATGGGATATTAATGGGGTTTATAGTGATTTAATGGGATATGAATGGTATGTAATTCTGATGTCATGGGATCATAGGATTTTGGTCATGGGATATAACGGGATATATTGGTTTTCCGGAATTCTATTCAATGTATTCAGCAGCAAATGCTAGGGAAGTGCCAATTTTTGGGGACACCTCAGCTTGTAATCCCAAGCGACGCCGATGACTTTTGCTGGTGTAAAAACATCGCCGTGTTTCAGACCTGCGATTCAGACATAGCACATGGGCAATGTTTGGTTCCATGTATTGTTCTTGTTGCTTGTTTTTGTAGGCTACGCAGCATGGAACCGGCATCCGATGTTTTTGTTTGTGGTTGATATACCAAAGTGGTCCAGACCGAACACCCAAAGGACACCAAGACACAGGAGGAAGGACTCCATAGAAATGGACCTAGAAATGGACCTAGAAATGGCGTTCCAGGTAACGATGCTGCCAAATGCGGAAGATCGATTGATGGGTTCCTGATGGGGTCCTGAGGTGCGGAATGGTTTTTTTCATGATTGAAAAATGGGATATTTCATGGTTAAATGGATATTTGATGGTTAAATGTTGCATAATGTTGCGGTATAACATGAGTATTAAAAAACATGCAACATGGGGATGTGAAATTAAACCAGCAAACATGGTGCTATAATTGTATGTATAACTCAGACAAAGTTCGCCTCTGGTAATTCGTGGGCCAAGTCTTCCATTGCGTCAACTTCACAACTTCATAGCCGAATTTTGGCCTTAGAGAGTTCTTTTTTTGGAGCATCCCGGGAAATCCAAAGTGTTTTCTTCCCTAATTTTCTTCTCAATAATTCCGTAACCCATGATTCTAAGTGGGGATATTCCATGAATCTCACTGGGGTATAATATTGAATAATTCTTATACCCTCTAGTAAACTAACATAGCTATGGAAAATTGCCATTTATAGTAGGTAAATCAACTCTAAATGATCATTTTCAATAGCTATGTTAAATTACCAGAGGGTAATATTGAATGATTTCATATTGGTCAATCAGGAACTGGGATGCCACGAGATTGGCCCTGGGAAGTGTGGATAGGAAGACGGTTGTCATCTACCAGATCTTCCAGCCGGCCGTTGAAGCAATGTGATATGCCGAGCCCAACCCGGATGTCAGGTGTGTGTTCAACATCACAAGAAAGCACAGATTCTTTGCACATCTGATCCCAGCTGTTCAAGTTAGGTGGGTCACTTGGTGGTTTCCGAAAATGTACAAAGACCCCTACATTGGATGAACATGGGTGAGTTTTTAGATGATGGCTTTAGGGTTCCTCTAGGAAAGCGCCGTGTGACCGGGCTTGCCGCGCCACCCAATGCCGTGGCGCCACATTTTTCAAGTGCGCCTCGTTCAAGGCACCCCGCTGAGAGAGCGGGCACTTTTTTGAAGGTTCTGGAAAAGGTTTTTGTTCAACCAGCTCAGGCACCTCGGGAGTTCATTGCAGTGTTTTTTTTCAACAGTGTAATTGTCATTGTGTATATGTATATACACACATAACGTAAGAGAAGATAAGATAAGATTACATGACATAACAGAACAGAACATAATAACATAACACACAATCACAACAAAACAGAATACAACATAACATCACAAAATATATCAGAACATAACGCAACATAACAGAAACCATATAACACAACTCCCATGACATAACATAAGAGAAAATGACAAAGCATAACACAACTGACACGATATAAGATACACCACATATATACATAGATTATGTATATATAACACGTGTACATCACATGTATACATAACATATATACATATCATATATTCAGAACAGATATACCCAACATATACACATAACATATACACTACATATAAACTACAACTACATATAAACTACATATAAACATAACATTAACACATAACACACACACATATATACATATGCATAACATGTATATATAACATGTATATACATCTACATATGTTTGTACATATACTATACGCGTAACACACACACACACTCACATACATATAGACATAAACAGATATAAATCACATATACAGATAATATGTATATATATATATAATGCATGCACAACACATATGTATATATATATATATGTAACGTGTACACACATATATATATATATATACACATAACACACATCACACGTATACATAATATATGTATATAGATCTACAATATGTAAATATATATATATATACACCACACATATATATATAGACACACAAAAAAAACACAATATGACATAAGATCACATCACAGTACATTGCATACGCACAGGCTACAGTGAGATACACACACACACACACTGACACTTCGTACCGCAAAGTTGAACACTTTGCAAACACCTCCTGAGATCCTGGAAAAATACCACTGCCGAAAAGGTGTGATCCCAAAGTTCGACAGCTGTTCGTCGAACCGTTCGTGTGGAAGCGGGATGATCATTGGCAGAGACCAATGGATGCTTCGGCGCGTTGCTTCTTGGCACTTTTTGGACCCTGAAAAGCTTGTGAAGCCAGTAAATTTAATTGTAATAACTGGTATGCAAAAATTGTGGAACATGAAATTGCTGAAGGTCTTGATTTTCGGCCTTGACTCGCATTGATTCTGGGCTAATTACTCTCTTCCTAGCCTAGCCCTGTTCCAGCTTCCCAGTTGGATGCTTTCTGCTTGTGGCATCTGCCATTGAAGCCATGAAGCAGAATGCAACTCTGGTGAACTTGGGGTCAAAAATTGTCACCACTGCGTTCCTTTCAAATTTTGAGGGCTGCGAGCTGGCGCCATCTCGGGCGTCGCCCGAAAATGCACCGGGCGTTTTCGACCGTGTTTTCCATCTTAGCTGATTGACCTTTTGTTTGATCGGTCGCGGCTGAGATTTGGCAAGAGCCATTTTCCGTGCCGGACTGGTGGCGACCGACAAGTCCGACAAGAGACAAAGCTTTCTTGATCAGATCTATCCGACAATCCCCAGGTAGAGTCTCGGTTAGAGGTGGTCATACCCCCATACCGTGGTAGGTACCCGGTAGCTCATTGTTACCATTGGACAGCCCTCATTTTTTCGAGACCCATTCATGTGGGGCTTTCCTATAATGGGAGTACCCCCAAAATGGACGCTTTATAATAGAACATCCTATTCACATGCATGATTTGGGGGTACCCCTATTTATAGAAAACCTCCATGTTGGCTTTTGATTGGGGTGTGGTTTGGACTTCGGTGTGAGCAGCAATCCGCATTGCGCTTCGCTTGCGTTCCATCGGCAGCGTTCACGTTGAACGCCAGGGGTCCGGAGGGTCGTTTTTGTTTTCATAGGATGACTGTTGGGATGTGTGTTGTATCATATTGTATGTGGTTTTACAGGGCCACAGAGCTTCAATTGGTAAGAACCTGACTAAAGTTGATTATTTTTTGTACATCCTCATTTTGGAATTCATCGCAAAGTTGAGCAAACACCTGACTATATTAGAGACTCAATGACTATTTTGCCAACGCTGGCAACGTTTTTTATTTCGGGTCCTCCAGCAGCGTTCACTGAACTCTGCCATCCGTTCGGGTCCTCGAGTGCGAGCCGCCCTCTCCGAAGACTCCGGTGGTCTTCGGTGCAGCCGGGGTTCGCCACGTGGCGAAGATGTACGACCCACAAACAGACGGTCTGACATTAACCAAGTGATTAATGGTGGTTAATGGTGATTAATGGTGGTTAATGGTGATGAACTCCGGTTTTTGAGGTCCAAAAAATGATGGGAAGTGCTCTGAGAAATGGCGCGTTTGGTAGCTTATGGAGAGGCAATATCTACAAAGTAGCGATGTATCAGATATGGGAATAGTGCAGCTAAACCTGCAGGCGTGCGCTCCAAGAAAGCACCTCTTTCTGACTGGATCATACTGATCGAACGACGAAGCAAAGAATCGGAACAGAATGGGGGAACTCTAATTCTAGAAGAGCTAGCTCTGCCATGCTCCGCCAGCTGAAATCATGAGTTAGCTCTGCCTGCTACAGCAAGTAAAGCCATTTTAGACCTCGCATTAATTCATGAATTTGGTCGAACATCCTCAGCCAGTTGAGTCTTGTGGAACAGTGGCAAACATCGAAAGCAGCAACTTTCGGGAAGGGGGGGAACTTTCGTTGGCTGAAACTGTCAGGCTTTTTTGAGGATCTTGAAATGTGTTTGTCTGCAGATAGGGCACCCGAAAATCTGACGGTTGATAAAGCCAATATCTTCACCAGGGGAAAAAAAGCCACCGGTTCCCAGGTTCTGAGCTATGCCGAAAGTGAACCGAACCTTTGAAGGGATAGCCTCTGGTACTGGTAATGACTAACATTTTGCGAAGTGTAAAATAACATGAAATAACCATTTTAGGTTTGGTAAATCATTGAACTAAGTGGGCCGTGGCTTCCATATGTGAAATTGCCAGAGGGAAAAGGTTGTGTAAAGTTGATGCCCCCTGGTGGCAATGCAGATGCTGGGCCCTAGAGATATGTTGTGTGCCACAATGACACAGCTACTCTGATGATGCCATATGGAAACCATACGAATGGAGCTACCGTCCGCCCAATCGATCTTTTTTTGCGTGGAAACCGCAGGAACACCTCGAAAATGATTCAGGAATCCTGCATTTTTCGAAGCCAAAAATAGGCTTTTCCAAGATCTTCCCAGTTCTTTTCCAAGTTTTCCCAGGGATGTTCCAAGTTTTTCCCCAGTTTTTCCCAGTTTTCCCCAGTTTTCCCCAGTTTTCCCCAGTTTTCCTCAGTTTTTCCCGGTTTTCCTCAGTTTTTCCTCAGTTTTCCCTCGTTTTTTCCGGGAAGAACAGCCATTCCACCAGGTCGTGGTTGCGAAGCCATTCCGCTTCCGCCACAGGGAGTAGCTCGGAAGCGCGTCTGGAAGCGCTGGATGGGGGGCAAAATGCTACCATTGTATTACCCATATAAATAGATAAAGATATTATATGTATCTACACAACATATGTATATAATAATAATAGTAATAATAATAAGAATAATAATAAGAATAATAATAATAAGAATAATAATAATAGTAATAATAATGATAATAATAATGATAATAATAATAATAATATATATACACTATAATATATATATATATACACTATAATATATATATATATACTATAATATATATATATACTATAATATATATATATACATATGTAATATATATATAATGAATCTATTCATATATATATATATGTATATATGTATATATGTATATATGTATATATGTATATATGTATATATGTATATATGTATATATAAACTATATATTATTTGTATGTATGTATATATATATATACACAGCAACTTTGAGATGGTTCATGGTTCAACAGCAAAATTGTCCGACGATGTTCCCAGGTCCCACGGCGCCGCTCGCGGCGTGCCCGGGAGGCTTCTGGGGAGTGAAACCCCGTGGTTTCTGGGCGTTTTCTCCTGTGATTTCTGGTGATTTCCTATGTTAAAACAATTGGAAAACATGGAAAAACAATGGGAAAACATGGAAAACCCTGTGGTTTGGTGGTTTTCATCATCAGAATCACTAGAAGATGTTTTTACTGACACGTGACAATTTCACTCGTTGGAGAAGATCGGAAGATAGGAGCCTGGTCACAAGACTCGTCACGTGAGGCTGGGCCAAATTAAACGCCAGGAGCTGAGGCGTACCAAGAGTTTGGTTGGTTGAATGATCCATTTCACCAAGATATATATATATATACTAGTATATAAGTATATATATATATTTATTTCCTCAATGTTCCACATCAAAAACCGGCAAATGACAACAGTATTTTGAAAACGCAATGCAGAAGGGCGAAATCCACAAGCATCTCTCAGCATTCGCAAAATTTCGGGCCGACATCGCGGGTGACAGCTCTCACGAGGTGCCTAGCCACGACGCAAATGAGTTTTACGCGGCGACGCGGCGACGCAGTTTCACTTGCCAGGTGAAAAATGCCGGGCAATGCCATGATGAATTGGTCAGCGGAGTTCTCCAGTAACATGACGCTTACTGTGGATAGTTGCGACCTGCACAAGTGTTTGTAGGTGGTTTATCCTGTTGTACCCTCTGGTTATTTAACATAGCCATGGAAAATTGCCCATTTATAGACGATTTATGATGATTTACCCATTAAAAATGATGATTTTCCATAGCTACGTTAAATAACCAGAGGGTACCACTACAAGAACAGTGTCCCATAGGAATCCCAATAGTTAGCGGCGGAGGGACCAAGATCCGCCAGCATCGTCACTCTTGAACCTCATCCTTTGACGTGACCGTAGATCCGTAAAAAATTGGCCAGTTATAGGTGCATGCTGCCCCCAAAATATAGGAAGATATCGCTGAAAAAAAATCAACACATGTGGCACAATACTACCAAGTTTGTTCTAGATTCTTCGATTCATTCCTTCCGCCACAGAAGCAACCAGAAACATCCAGAAACCATGATTTTTCATGGTGGAATTGAACATGTTTAGGCCCCATAGGCTGGCTGGGGTATTGCTGTTAACCGGGGGATGGGCTCACCAGAAAAAATGTGATCTTTCATGCCTTTTCAAGAAACCATCCCAAATTTTCCAAATAGGGCAGTAAAAGAAACAATCCCCAAGTCGAGTTTTGATTTATATATTATTACTGGTACTTATTAATTATAGATTGTATTGCTATGTATTGCTTATATCCAAGATATTTCGATGTACTATATTACATTTTATCATATGTGGCACTGTAGTTTGTTGTATTTTACCATATTTTACAGTAATACATTCTACTTTTATTAATGATACTCCATTGTGTTTGACTGCAATTTAGCATATTTTGCAATATGTTATTCATGCCAGAAGACATGGCTAGAAAGCCATGTCACAGATCTCCGACGCTGAGCATCGCTGAGCCCAAAAAATCCGAAGGACCGAAGACAGGTCCAGGGAGGCGAGCTGATGTATATATATATATATTATATGTATATATATATATAGATATGTATATCTATAGAGGTAGGTATGTATCTACTATCATGAGCAAACAGGGGGATTAGGGGTTTATGTGGAAGATAGGAATGGTTGGATGGTCGTTGTTAGGTGCTGAAGTTTTTTTTTAAATCATGGTTTTAAATCATAAAAGATACAAACAAACCAGTTCTTGTCTGGCAGCCATCAGTGGCTCAATTTCAGGTAGTGAACCCTTTGGACCGAGACGGTCCAGTTGTCTCATCAAAGGACTCCAATGATGATCGTAGTCAAAAGGTCACTGATCTTTGAGAAGGCGACACACATATTGAAACCAGATGATCATTCTCCAATAGCAATTGAATCATAATCATCATAATCATCCCATCATAATCATCATAATCATCATAATCATAATCATCCCACCAAACATTATCCAATCCCATCATCAGTCCATGAGTTTCGTCATGTCACAAGGGACTTGTCTCTTCATTCTTCGCAGCGCGCGGCTTGACGACCCTCCAAGCCGCCATGGGGGAAAGCCATGCGTCTGGAGCCATGAGAATCTGCATTTTGCTTTTTGTTTTCCATCTTCTTTTCACCGTAAGCACCAACTGCAATGGAGAAAAAAGGCCAAAAAAGACATCGAAGTATGGCCAAATCTCCGCAAAATTGGAGGGTTTCAGAGATTTGCAGCAGAAACTGCGGAGAAATCCCAGGTTCGGAGCTTCCTTTCTATGTGGACCAAGTCGGAGGCTTTGCAGGGTTTTTCAGAAATGCCCAGGTTTGGCCCATGGCCCTTTTTTGGACCTAAAATTTGCAACCCTGGAATTTTTCCTCAATGATGAACATAGCCTGAGAACATTCTCTTTCGCAGTCCTTCGCACCAATTTCTTTGAGGAACGGCAGTGAAATATAGTAGTTTTATTGGTTGAGGTATATGTTTCCAAGGAACAAGAAATTTGGACGAATTTTGGAAAAGCGTCCTCGGTGCATAATCTTGGGCTGCATTGATCGACAAGTGGTTACATGTGAATTCAAACACTCAGTGACAGATTGGCCACTGTAAAATTCATTTGTCTTTGTGTCTCTATGACTGCGCGATCCAAGAAAATTACAGCTAGCAGCTAGCCAAAGCTGTAGGGCACATGTTAATTTCCTTTTAGACAGGACCAATCTGGTTTGGGAAAGAACCGTTTCTCACCTGACCCCAATGTTTGCCAACGCAGATAGCTCGTGATATCCCTTGCCCATGGGGTTCAAGACGCCCTGAACCCATCTGGAGTTGGGCGCGGTAGGCACCTGGTGATGGGCGTCTGTATCGCCATGAGTCTTCTCTACGCAGCGCGCGTCTTGTAGCAGGGCCGCCCGGTTTTTTCCGGTCCGCTGGAATCGTGGAATCTGCGATAGGTTGACACCATTGACACCCCAAAAACTGGATGGTGACCAAATACTTGGAATGTGACACCACAAAATGGAGGTGTCCATAGGTTTCCAAAAATTGGGGTATCCCCAAATTCAAGTCACCAGACCATAACTTAGTATTGAGGCCCATGATAACCCATGGTAAATTGGGATCCCCACATTTGAAGATAGCCCCAATATCCTTGGATTCTTTTGATACTTGTGGCCATAGCATCCTGCAGCCCACCATGCAACTTACTGAGTTGGATCATCATCGTGGGCTCAAGTATAGAGGTGGAGCAAAAGTGCCAAGCTCAGTACAGACATTGCAATGGCGCGGATGGGAACAATTTTTTTTTGTAAACAAGACCACCCAAGACCGTCATTTTTACATTCTTTAAAACATGTTTACATTTTTTCTTGAGGTGTTGGGCCCTGGAAAGTTAGTCTCAGCAACTTTGAGGTAGCATTTTCATCCGCTGGTCGTGGATGTTATTGCTGAATTCATAGCTTTGAGCCTTTGCTGCCAGGGTGCCTTCCTGTGTGGGCGAAGAATGCTTCCAAGTCTTTTCTTGCAAAGGTCTCAAGGACAGCAGCAGAATGGCAGGATGGCACGGGAAAAACAGCGGATGTACCATGGATGATGGAAGCGATGCTCATTCCCGCTTGGATTTCTGCCCTAAGTTGGGCTGCCAATCCCGGTGGTATCTAAGCATTCGCCAGGACGCAACCGCCCATGTGATGGAACCCTTGGCTCCTTCGGGTGGAACAGGGGGGAGCCAACAAGATCTGTGGGATCCGTCAGGGGATGATTCATGGCACTCCATTGACCCAAGGGGGACCCCTTGGGGGTGACCCATTCCCACGACAAAAATGTGGTCTGAAAATGGGGGTTACCATTTTTGTTCCCCTTTTCTTGGCCATTTTGAAGATGGAACATGATGATGAATTATGATGAACTCATGGATTTCGGGGGCAAAAGCCAGTTTTTTTTCTAACTGGACTTAACTGGACAGCTCGAAGCTCTCGAAGCTCTCCAATCTCTCCAGTTCGCTCAGTTTACCGTGAGCGGTCTCATCTTCTTCCCTATGGGCTTTCATGCGGCACACCATGGGCCTGGGAGCCAAGTGATCCTGGAGAAAAAGCCTCTGGTTATGCACCGAAAAGTTAGCCTCTGGTTATGACATTCACACTTTGCCATGGAAAATCATGATTCGAAATAGGTAAATATTTTCAGGATAATAGAAAACCAAAGGGTAACCACAAGCAGCAAAAGATGACCAGATATTTTGGAAGGATTGACCATGATCTCTTGAGGACTTTTTCACACCATCTGCTGTGGAATCCTATGAACCTGGCAGATTTCAGTGTCCCTTTTTCTCCGAGATACCCCGCTGAATCCGATTCGCTCAACGGCTTGGTGGTGGGTCCTTTTTTCCGGCCAGGGATGATTTGCAGATGAAGCGCTTTGCTCTCTTTCTTCTTGCCTGGCCTTCAGATCATGACATATCGTGGCAGTGACAGAAAAGCATGGCGAAAACGTATGTTTTTGTCCCACACTTTGAGAGGCACCGTTCCCCGAATTTTGATGGTTCGATGAAGCCCTAGTTCGCCTCAGTTGTGGCTAATTCTAAGTGTCTTAACTTTGAAGAGGCTTCAAGCGCATTTCGTTCGCCTGACAAGAATCATTGTGGAACGCCTAGGGAATGACCGTCCTTCGGATCGCCGTGATTGGCTGTGACATGCTCTTCCTGCACAACTGCCAGATGTGCCAACAGGATCTGAGCAAATGGAGAGAATTTGTGTTGGAGAATCTTTGGCAGTTTCTGTAACATTCTGCTCCAAAAAGGTCCCCATGGCATCATGGGGGGGGCCCCAAGCAAGAGAATCTTCAAGAGCCTTGGGTGAACTCCCTGGTCCATCGCGAGCCTCGAAGCAAATTGCTGCACAGTGGGACCATCGGTGTACTGCCGCGCAGATGGTTGCATCAAGTTTAGCCACGACAGATCATTTAGCCAATTCGATGTGTGGGTCACAAAGACCGAGAGTTTTTGAAGCTACTTGAGCTGTAGCAGATAAATCTATGTAGTAAGTAGTAATATATGAATGTGTATAATATATATATATATATTATATTATATTATGTTATATATTGTATTATATTATATATATAGTATGTATACTCAAGCCTTTCCAGCTGGAGCTGCAATGCCATGGCCCATGGCCTTACAGATTCTATGAGGACTTTTCCGGGATTCAACCAGAGTTATCGCAGAAATCTGGGGGAATCAGACACCTAAACTGGAGGACCAAAATGCCATTGAGACAAGTGCCATTTGGGCATCTCAGGTGTACCTAAACTAGAGCTGGTTGGTGGTTTCAAACATGAATTTTATTTTCCATTTCATATACGGGATGTCATCCTTCCCATTGACGAACTCATCCTTCCCATTGACGAACTCATATTTTTCAAGATGGTTAAAACCACCAACCAGAGGGGTACTGTACCATATAAAGCCACATTTTTTTGGGTATATCATGGTATATCCCCTTACATAGCCCTGAAAAATCGACCAGAAATATGCTGGGTACCTGCAAAAACCTCGGTTTCTGAAGCCCTGGATCTGATCTGAGTCATCTTGTCAATGGAACACCCCGAAAAAACCAGTTCACAAATGCCCAATCTATTGGGACCATTCCCAATTGGCTATGGATCAATACCTATTAATACCATTTCTAGGGGGATGAACATCCATAAATCCCAGCTATTTTGATGTGAACTACAGGGGTACAAGGTTTTGACACACTGCCAATTGATGAACTTGGATATTTTTGGGCCTTGAAATTGCATTTGCACAACTAATTTGATTGGCATCGATTGGTGCCAGGAAAACAAGGCACCGAAATCCTCAGTTTTAGCCGCCAGGGTTTTCCCGTGAGGACGTTGCCCTTGCTTTTGGTGGCCGTTCGCGCGGAGGGCCCGGCGGCTTGGAAAAGGGTCAGCGGCTATCCCACAATGGCATTTCAGTTTGGTGAGTACTCTCCAGATTGATCATCTATTATATATATATAAGTAGTATACTAAATAGATATATATATATATATAACGATAGATATAAAACATAAGTAGTAATTAAGTATCCCATTTTCTGAAAACATCTTGATTGGAGCTGATGCTGTTGGTTGATGGGAATAGATTGGACATTTCGACGGAGTTGAAGTAGTGGGTGTACTGGAAGACATCGGACAGAGTGCGAACTCTTGGAACCCAAGCATTGTCGAAGATTTTGTTCAGTTGCATGACAATCATCACAGTTTCTTGGAATTTCAACATATTTCAACTTGCTTTGCGAAGCTTTAAAACATGTGCAAAAATCGTTGCTTCCAGCAGAATTGCCACGGACATACGAAATGTCCGAAAATCGTCCAGGGGGTGAAACTCGAGTTGCAAGTGGATATAAGATCATAATGAATCATACAACTATACCCTCTGGTAAACTAACATAACTGTGGAAAATCACCATTTTCAATGGGTAAATCCACTATAAATGGTCATTTACAACTATAGTTGGGACCCAACTGTTGGAGATGAGCTCACAATGGTCAGGTGCCGAATGTCCCAACTGGCAGATCTTCCAAGCAGAGTTGCTGGCTGCACTACGGGCACCAGGCCAGCAGATGGGGCGAACTTGGGGATAGACTTGACATTTTGGGAGAACACTGGATGTTTGTTTGGTGCAACAACTTCAACAACTGTTCTACCTGGAGATGACCATCCTATTTGCACCATCCTAAATTTTGGATGGTTCTGGAGACTGTCTGTATTAAGCCCAACAGTTTTTAAGGCTTTTGCAGTGACCCATCGATGCCATAGGATGGTGAAATGGTGCTTGCTCCCATGATCCATGGAGGATTTGTCGTTCCAGCCAGGATTTGTCCCTGATGTTACCACAGATGTCCGCAGGTTCCTTGTTTGTTGTCTCAGGGACATCCATTCTCATGTTTCGAAAGGCCACGAATCCACGGTTTTGAAAAACCACAAGCTGAAAACTGGCTATGACAGTATCCAATAAAGCTGGAAATGGCTAGGAAGTGGCTTCTGGGTCTCCCAAAATGACAGGATATTGATGGTTATATCAATTATCAGTTACATCCCCGATTTTGGATTGACTATGATTAACAAAAAGTACACTTCTTGTTTGTTAAAGGACACCGTTTTTTTCTTCGAATAACATGTTGTCATATTGTTGAAGAAATCACAATGCTTGCTGGTGAGTTTTGTGTTTGTTCAATCCGAGATTTGGGTTGCTAAATCCGGCGACATAATCATTTCTGAAGCATTTCGAATGGTCGAATCGCCATGTCTTTTTTTTGGATCACCCCAATCCTGACCATTACATTGCGACATTGGAGAGGTGAGGTACAGTGAGGTAGCAACATAGTTTTTATTTATTTTATTTTTATTTCTTAAATGTATATTTATTTATAGTTTTAATAGCTACATAGTATTATTATTCTGATCTCGCATTATTACTATTCTAATTGTCAAACTGCTTCTATTATTTTCTAATTATTTACTCTTATAATTGTTACTATCACTACTAATTATCGTTATTATTATTACTACGTATAATTACTATCCGAAGGAAGTTTAGAAGTCAAACTTCCGACAATATGGACAGATGAAAAGCAGAGCAGGGAAGAGGCAGAGAGAAGAGAAAGATTAGAAGAAAGAAGAGTAGAAGAGAAAGAGTAAGAAGAAAGAAGATGGAGATGCGCGAAAAGGTAGGAAAGTCGCGAAACACTGTGTTTTTCCAATGATTTGTGGCTCCGGAGGGTCGAAAAGTAGGCTCGCTAAAGCGGCGGGTGCGGAGCCAGCTGGCCAGATGAGAGATGAAAAAGTGCACGCCGTTGTGGCGCGAAGCACATTTCCAAGTCAAAATGTACAAAGCACACCATGGTCGGACCACTTTTGGAAGTTGAGATGTCGAAAAAGTGCACGCCGTTGTGGCGCGAAGCACATTTCCAAGTCAAAATGTACAAAACACACCATTCTCGGACCACTTTTGGAAGTTGCGATGTCGAAAAAGTGCACGCCGTTGTGGCGCGAAGCACATTTCCAAGTCAAAATGTACAAAACACACCATTCTCGGACCACTTTTGGAAGTTGCGATGTCGAAAAAGTGCACGCCGTTGTGGCGCGAAGCACATTTCCAAGTCAAAATGTACAAAACACCACATGTTCGCGCCACTTTTGGAGGTTCGGATGTTGAAAAAGTGCACGCCGTTGTGGCGCGAAGCACATTTCGAAGTCAAAATGTACAAAACACCACATGTTCGGCCACTTTTGGAAGTTCAGATGTCGAAAAAGTGCACGCCGTTGTGGCGCGAAGCACATTTCGAAGTCAAAATGTACAAAACACTAGGGGTTCGGACCACTTTTGGAGGTTCAGATGTCGCTTCGCTTCGCTTCGGGTCATTACACTACACTATCCACTACACTACAGTACACATTACACTACACTACACTCCACAACACTACAACTACAACTACAGAACTACACAACTACACTCCACTACACTCCACTACACTCCACTACACACCGCTACACTGAATTACACTACACTACATTACACTACACGGTAGATAGTCAGAGAAAGAGAGAGAAAGAGTGAGAGAGATCAAGCACCTTTCAGTCCATCAGTGGCTTCGCTCTGCCATCCCGGATTCACAACAACCAAACTCTCCTATAGGTTTCCTATTTTTGAAACTTCCGCCACGCCTTGTGCGGTACTACTGGTATTTACTATTAATACAGTTATATATATATACATATCCTAGTATTATCTTTGTATTTTTATTCTAATTGTTGCTATTTTACGATGACCATAATTCTTATTGCCCATTTTCCTAATATCATGAATACCAATACTTATTGCACATTTTCGTATTATCAAGAATACCAATATCATTACTACTATCATTAGCACGATTATCTACTAGAATTATTAGTATCATCATCATCATAATAATTGTAGAGCTTCGCACACCGGCGATGCCATAAGGGTTATGTATAGCAGTGTGAGCGTTGGTGTTGTTCATGTGCTCGGCGCGTGCGCGCAGGTGAAGAGCACAGTATGATGTGCTTTTCATACCCCAGCTTGTAACACATCTTTTTGTTGCATTTTTGTGCTTCTTCTTCTTCTTCTTGTTGTTGTTGTTGTTGGTGGTGGTGGTACAAACAAAGACACGGGCCCTCAAAACAAGCTACCCGAGCTTATTTTGGAATTTGCTTGGTGTTCCCTAAGGGCGTCCATGTTGTTTTCCACCGTTTTGAAAAAGAACTTTGGTGTAGACTTATGGCTCCTTTTTTTAATTAGGTAAAAGCTTCCTGGACTCCTTTTTGACCGCTCAGCAGCCGAAATCTTGCAAAAAGGGGTCCAGCAGGGTCGCTTTGGATCATTATGATTTTTCTGGTTGCCGGACCCCTTTTTGAACGGTCCAATTTATCAAAAAGGGGTCCAGCAGCAGGAAAACAGACTTGGATTGAAGTAAGATCCTCTGTTATTCAGCCGTGCAATGACAGCAAACAGTGGAAGGCATCCCGCGAAATGGGACCCCATTCGAAGCAACATCAGGAAAAATGCGTGAGCTGGATGGAGCCAGGGGTCAGGGTGTTTTCTTAGAAGCATGCAGTTATTTGAATTCAAAGTTGCGAGGCCAGCACATGTGGAAACGGTGCCGTCCAGTGGTGGCGCGATGTGAGTCGGAAGAGTCCGAAGTCCAAGAGCCTAACGGGACCCCCTGGGTAGCAGTTGGTGGGACGGCTGCGCGGAGGTTCAGATTCTGGTGTGTCATTTTGCCCGTCGGTGGAAAAGGATACGATTTGAAAGAGGTGTCAAGGTGTGGTGAGTTGGTGCATGGTGGCTGCTATGCATCCGAAAGGGAAGCTGAGGTGCAGAATAGCGGCTGCACCTGCAGTTGCAGGAAGAGAAAGAATGAGAGAGAGAGAGAAGATACGAAGCAGGGAGCTGACCAGGAAATGTGATCATGGCGGACTGAGGTTTGAAGGACCAATGTGTGGAACTCCTTCTCCATGTTTCGTGGATGCTGCGGGTGCTAGGCCAGGAAAGAAAGCGGGTGAAGGAAGTTTCGCTGCTGCCCGCCAACATTGGTTAGGGAAAGAGGGCGCCTATGTGTGCCGGTGTGCTAGGTGCAGAACGCGCACGGGCGGGCCTGGAGTCGGCAGAAGCGGGTTACAGCTTCTTCTCTTCGGTGACTGTATCTGGTAGTGAGGTGGTTTGGCGGCAGTGAGAAGGAGAGTGTGCCTTGCAGTGGGTGGTGAGTGCAAAGATCCATGTTGCAATCTGTTTTTCAGTGGAGTTCTGTCGCCTGGGAGCCGCTTACTTGAGTGAGTTGGAGACGAATGTTGTGAACCCCACGCCGAGTTGTTCGGAAGAGGTCTTTGCAATGTGTTGGAGGATGTGGGGGGGCGTTGCTGCAGCTTGGCAGCGGCACCTAAAAGCCACTTGGCCGAGTCTTTTAGAAATGGCGCCCTCTTTTCAAAGTATATGGTGTCAGTTGCGCCATTGAGATTTCAGGTGGGCCAGTCATTGGACATGGAGCGGACCGTTCAGCAAGGTGCCAGCGCCAAAGCGGCAGAGCCCCGGTCGAAGCCTCGAAACGCGCTCCGCCACAGCAAAACCCCATGAAGCTGACCGTTGGAGCGGGCTTCCAGCACCAAAGCGGCACTGCCGGACGTTACCTTCTGACGCCTGTAGAAAAGTAGCTTTTGGAGCCCCGGCCTGGTCGAAGCCTCGAAACGCGCTCCGCCACAGCAAAACCCCATGAAGCTGACCGTTGGAGCGGGCTTCCAGCACCAAAGCGGCACTGCCGGACGTTACCTTCTGACGCCTGTAGAAAAGTAGCTTTTGGAGCCCCGGTCGAAGCCTCGAAAGCTGGGCCGCAATAAAACCTTACGTTTCAGGGAGGTGCGCACATCTACCTGTCGTCGTAAACTGTCGCCTCGCACTGCGTGACGTCTTCCCGCGCTTCCAGCGGTCCACTCTTGGGCCGAAGGTGGACCTTTGAATTTTCCCGACTCAGTTGTCATGATCTTGTCAGTCTTTGCTGAATGTCTTCATTTTCTGTGTGCAACAGTAGAAAGCAATATGTTCTCAAAAATTGTGCTTACACTTGCACTACCTTCTGTGTTTCGTGTCCATCACCCTGCCAAGCTAGCTTTCCCTTACCCCTTGCCCTCAAGTGCAACAAGCTGTTCTTGTCGCAATAGCCTACTGCAAGTCAATGATCACTGCACCACTTTCTGGCCAGTTGCGTAGGACAGACGGTGCCTTTCATGGATTTCACGATGTGTTCCTGCTCCGTCGCTCCATGATCTGCCAAGGATATGGTGTTAAACTGTCTCGACAAAGACCGCAGCGACCTTCATGAGGACATGTCATGAGTTGCCTTTGAGGATAGAGTTTGTAGAGGGCTGTTCACAGGGCTTCACCAGGGTTGGATGAGCCACGGTAGTTTACAGGGGCATTTTCCGCAACACGTACAGTGTCATGATAGAATGATAACATCAAGTTTAAGTATGAGTGTCATGAGCGATATTTTGCACTTGAAGCTTGCTCCCAACCAAGTCGTGAGTTGATTCCAAGTTCATTCTTCAAAGTCCCAAGTCACGGTCAGGAGGAGAGGGCAGATGACAGTATCATGTCGAACATCCAGGCCAAAACCACATGGCAAGAAGGCTTCGCCAACAAGCTCTGCCTTGAAACTTGGCCGAGCTGACGGGTTGCACGACGGGTTGCACGACAGTTTGCACGTCGGGTTGCAACGGTTTGGAGGTCAGAACTAACTGGACCTAGTCGCTACTGGACCGATCCAGACCTTGCCAAGGCCTCAAGGGCTGACCACAGCGCCGCTTGTGGAATGGGCAGTGACGAACGCTACACAAAGCGCGTCACTTCTTTAGCGCTGGCCATGCTCTTAATGTGTGAGAATCAGCGCCAAAGCGGCAGTGCCGGAACGACACTTTTTCTTTGACGCGCTCCCCCTGCTCATTGCTGGGGTCGGCAGAGAACAGTAGTAATAAGAACACTCATCATCAGCATACTCACAACCATAATCACAGTCATAGTCATCATAATAATGATCATCATCGAAATCATCATGGTAATATGAAAACATATGTAATAGTAAAAAAGTAAGTGAGAACGGAGAAAATAATAGTCATCACCATCATTTATGTATAATGTGGTGCCATCTCAAAATTCACTAGAATGGGTGGTCTAAACCTACAAAATTTGTGGTTTATTATTGTGTTTGCCACATTATATGTATATATATATATGTGTGTGTGTGTGTGTGTATGCCCGGGGGGATCTAGCAGGTCGATGTTGAAATCCACTACTTGTAGATCGTTTTCCTAACGAAACCATGGGTTTCCACATCTATGTGAACGTTTACAGGAGGGTCTATTTCCATTCAAATTGTGTGTATATAATATATATATATATATATTCCCATGATAGATAGGTAGGTAGGTAGGTAGATAAATAAATAGATATCCTCTTCCAATAATTGGAATCTCACAATATCATTATCATGGGAATATATATATATATTATAGTTGATTTATTTGTGAAAAAGATGATTTACCATCATATTGTCAGTCTACTTTGCCAGCTATGTATATATAGTGTTCCTAAAGTAGACATTCCATCTATCTACTTCAGGATGACAATATACATATAAATAAACAACTAGATATCCAACTTAACAACTAGAACCATCTGATGTCCATCTACTATGTATAGATAAATATATCTGTAACATCTATCTAAAATATCTATAATATCTATTATATCTATAACATCTATAATCTCTATAATCTCTGTAATATTTATCTATCTATCTATCTATCCATCTATCTATCCATCTATCTATCTATCTCTCTCTCTCTCTCTTTCTCTCTTTCTCTCTTTCTCTCTTTCTCTCTTTCTATCTATCTATCTATCTACCTATCTACCTATCTATCTATCTAGCTACCTATCTATCCATCCATCCATCCATCTATCCATCTATCCATCTATCCATCTATCCGTCTATCCGTCTATCCGTCTATCCGTCTATCTGTCTATCTGTCTATCTGTCTATCTGTCTATCTGTCCATCTGTCCATCTGTCTATCTGTCCATCTGTCCATCTGTCCATCTGTCCATCTGTCCATCTGTCCATCTGCCCATCTCTATCTATCTATCTGTCTATCTATCTATCCATCTATCTATCCATCTATCTATCCATCTATCTATCTATCTACCTACCTATCTACCTAATCTATCTATCTATCTATCTATCTAATCTAACCTAACCTAATCTAATCTAATCTAATCTCATCTAATCTAATCTAATCTAATCTAATCCATCTATCTATCCATCTATCTATCTATCTACCTACCTATCTACCTAATCTATCTATCTATCTATCTAATCTAACCTAACCTAACCTAATCTAATCTAATCTAATCTCATCTAATCTAATCTAATCTAATCTATCTACCTATCTATCTATCTATCTATCTAATCTATCTAATCTATCTAAGCTATCTAATCTATCTAATCTATCTAATCTATCTAATCTATCTAATCTATCTAACCTATCTAATCTATCTAATCTATCTAATCTATCTAATCTATCTAATCTATCTAATCTAGCTAATCTAGCTAATCTAGCTAATCTATCTAATCTATCTAATCTATCTAATCTATCTAATCTATCTAATCTATCTAATCCATCTAATCTATCTAATCTATCTAATCTATCTAATCTACCTAATCTATCTAATCTATCTAATCTATCTAATCTATCTCATCTATCTAATCTATCTAATCTACCTAATCTATCTAATCTATCTAATCTATCTAATCTATCTAATCTAATCTAATCTATCTAATCTGTCTAATCTATCTAATCTATCTAATCTATCTAATCTATCTAATCTAATCTAATGTAATCTAATCTAATCTAATCTATCCTATGTATCTATCTATCTATCTACCTATCTATCTATCTATCCATCCATCCATCCATCCATCTATCTATCTAATCTATCTAATCTATCTCATCTATCTAATCTATCTAATCTACCTAATCTATCTAATCTATCTAATCTATCTAATCTATCTAATCTATCTAATCTATCTAATCTATCTAATCTATCTACCCTACCTAATCTATCTAATCTATCTAATCTATCTAATCTATCTAATCTATCTAATCTATCTAATCTATCTAATCTATCTAATCTATCTAATCTATCTAATCTATCTAATCTATCTAATCTAATCTAATCTATCTAATCTGTCTAATCTATCTAATCTATCTAATCTATCTAATCTATCTAATCTAATCTAATGTAATCTAATCTAATCTAATCTATCCTATGTATCTATCTATCTATCTACCTATCTATCTATCTATCCATCCATCCATCCATCCATCTATCTATCTATCTATCTACCTATCTATCTATCTATCAATCTATCTATCTATCTATCTATCTATCTATCTATCTATCTATCTATCTATCTATCTATCTATCTATCTATATTTACACATATACATATGTATATCTATGTATATATATATATGTAATATATCCGTCATGTTCCTATGATGTCCCCATGACAGGCCTTGGCCACACCTTGCAACGCTGGCGTCCGGCCGTGCTGCGGAAGGCCTTACGCTCCACCGAGGCCTTGAGCCAGGTGCCATCGTCCTCCAGCCGTTCGCGTCACCGTTGAAAGCCAGGGGTGGTCACCGTGTTTTTTTTTCGGATTTTCATCAGTTTTTTTTCGTATTTTTTTGAACTGGTTTGTTTTGTTTGTATTCTGTTTCATCGAGATTCAAATGCTGATCATTGGGGATTGAAACAGTCAAATCCAAGGGGCGTGCAAGAAGACAAAATGGGGATTTTGGCTAACCATGGTGGGTCTAGGCCAGCAAAAATGCCCAAACAGGCTTGAGCATCAAGATTTGACTATCAAACCAGAAGGGCACTCACTCTGTTTCCAGATTCTGTCCGGGTCACTGCTGGCAGTCAGGAGCTAATGTCTTCCGCTGCCTGGGACAGGATGTCCCTGCAGCCAGCCGAGGACTCGAACGGCGGGGTTTGTCCCTACTGTGGCCAAAAATAGGAGAAATGGATGCTTCAAACATACCATATACCACAGGCTGCAGGTAAGTCATTGTAGTCAGCACCCGGTATGAGCAATTACGAGAGTGCGGAAGGGATTCCTACCGGCCAAGGTGCGATGGGGCTGTCAACCAGTAGAGGAAGTCAGTAGAACCAATCCACAGCAGTTTCTAATTGCTGGCTAGTACACCCCTATTCTTGTTGCTTAGGTCCCAATTTTGGTGGACCCCCCAACTTGATGAGTTGCCATGTTTGTCTTGTCAACTCCCCGTTTCTGTCCACGTTCCATCGTCTTTCGTTCTGATTTCCAAACATTTTTTTCGGCGATGGTTCAAGTGACTTTCGCCAGCTGAAGTCCTATGTTTTCATCATTTTTCATCATTATATTAGCTGTCAGAAAAAAACAAATCCATCATTGTCAAGAACCATTCTTTCCATCATGATAGTGGTCAATAACCATTATTTCCATCACTATAGTGGTCAAGTCAAGAACCATTATTTCCATCACTATAGTGGTCAAGAACCATTGTTTCCATCAGTATAGTGGTCGAGAACAATTATTTGCATCATTATAGTTGTCAAGAACCATTGTTTCTATCATTATAGTCGTCAATAACCATTATTTTCATCATTATAATGGTTATGAACCATGGAAACCCACACACGGGTATCATGCTGGAATTTGTATTGCTGGCGGGTTGCGGGTCTCCCTTCGCGACTTGGTTTACCGCTGGGCTGAACGCGCTTGCCTACGTCCCGAACGGGAAAAATCGGGCTTGTTGCGCCCCCAGAGGCCTGATGATGTTAGCAGTAGCCACCGTCGGCCGGCTGACGTGTTCCTTCCTTCATTCCTTGGCCACCCACCTGCATTAGACTTTGCCATCACGGCACCTCAGCGGTTGGATGTCCTTGGTGCTCGAGGGAGCGAGTCTGCGGCTGTTGCGTACTCTGAACACAAAAGGCGGCATTTCGGTACCTCAGCTGCTTGTGCAGCCCAGCAAGTCACCTTTCAGCCAATGTGGAGACGACAGGGGCTTGACCCCTGAGGCTGAGTGTGCCTTGCCCAAATTAGCCGCGCTGTGACCTTTGCTGGCCATGCTGATCCTGGTGCCACCACGCTGCTGCAACAGGCTTGCGGCCTTGCGGCGCAGGGCTGAGGAGACTGTCGTCTAGTTTGCCACTTTCCTTTGGGCTTCATGTGGCGGGGCCATTCCTTCCTTAGGACAGGCCTTCCCCCCTTAGACAAGGGCCTGCTCGGAGAGCGGTCATTGGTCGGCCGGGGCATCCGCTGCTCTTGTTGCTATTTTTTCTTGCTGGTGTGCATCTTCGTTGCAGAGCGTTTGGCTCTCTTCACGCCATTTTCCACGCAGATGATTTTGCCTGTCTCCTGGTTTCCATCATTATAGTGGTCAAAAGCCATGATTTGCATCATTATAGTGGTCATGAACCATGAGTTCCATCATTATAGTGGTCAAGAACCTTTATTTCCATCATTATAGTGGTCAAGGACCTTTATTTCTATCATTATAGTGGTCAATGACCATTGTCATCCATCATTATAGTGGTCAATAACCACTATTAACCATTATTTTAGTGGCCAAAAACAATTTTAAGCAATAATTTGATAATCAATCACCACTATTAGCCATTATTATTATTATAGTGGCCAGGAACCATTATTAACCATCATTATACTGGTCAATAACAATTGTTACTCATTATTTTGGTGGTCTAACCATTATGGACCGTCATTATCCACTATAAATTATAAACCGTTATTGACCATTATTAACCATTCTCAACCATTGGTTCATTATGATTTTCGCCATCATGTTTGACCTGTGAAGCACTGCAGGAGGCGGGTCACATGGAGTCCCGGGAGGCCTTGGAGAAGATCGCCGGCGCAGCGGATCGAGATGGCCGGTGCGCCGCTGTGATGCCGGGTGGCGAATGGGAGAAAATTGGGAGATGATAATTGTTGGATGATAGCTGTTGAATATCTCATAGATGATGATAGATGATAGATTGTATTAAGTGATAGATAATAATCATGATAGATAATAATAATAGATAATAAGTGATAAAAATGACGATAGATAATTGGCTATTATAGATGCTAACTGTTGGCTGACAATAGGAGAAGCTGTTTGATAATAATAGATGACAATAATGATGTTTTTGGGATAAGTGATAGATAATAGATGATAATGATGATAGATGATAACTGTTGGATGATAATGGCTAGATAATAAGTGTTAGATGATAGATGATAATGGGATAAACTTGGGATGTAATGATGGTAAGTGATAGATGATAGATTGTAACAATGGCGAGAACTTGGTAGATGATAGATAATAGATGGTAATGATGATAGATGAAAACTGTTAGGTGATAAAAGGAGAAACTTTTCATGTAATGATGATAAATGTTAGATGTTAGCTGTTGGATGATAGAAAGACATGGTCGATAGTAAGTGATAGATGTTAGATGGTAGATGATAAGTGATAGATGATATATATACCGTTAAAGTGAAAGTTAGAATGCGGTTTTGGCTTCGCGTGATGGTGGCCCGTTTGGCCCCCCCCCACGGCAGTCGCAATTTCAAGTGGGAAGCGTTCTAATTGCTGAAATGCTGGTAGAAAGCAATTTCAAGGGGGAAGCATTCTAACTGCATTCTAACATCTGATGATATTCATAGTGCGGAGGCATTCTAAGTGAGGGATTTGTGCAAAGGGTTCTCCAAAAACAAAAAAACTTAAAACCCGGGTGGGGAGGCATTCTAACTGAAGGATTTTTTGCCGTGCGCGGGCCGCATTCTAACTGAGGGGGAGGAATATTTGGAATTCGCGGAGGCATTCTAACTTTCACTTTAACGGTATATATATTTATAGACTTATGTGGTCAGCCCAGTTTTACCAAAGCTCTCTTAAGGGGATGGTTTGGATGATTGGGTTTATGAACGGGAGAATGAGACTTTCTGATTTTCAAGCATTTTTTGAAAAACCATGAGTTTCTTCCGTGTCATGGGGGAATGGGAAAATGAGATCAGTTCGTCATTTGTATGGAATGTAATGGGACAATTATGGTTAATACATGTCAAAATGATGAGAATATGTAGCCATCAATATGCCATATACTGATTTGTATTTACCATCAACTGTGGGACAACTATGGTTAATGTCAAAATAATGGAATGGATATGTGGTACGTATGTGTATTTGGTGATTACGATGCATATGTTATTGCGCTAAGCCATTGGCATGCAGATGATCACGTTGAAGCAGGGGATATATATCATGATATGTATACGACGGGACAATGGTGGTTGATAGATGTTAATGATAAATAATGGTTAATATCATGATCATCAATAAAGCATTACCCGTAGTACCGCACAAGGCGGTGGCGGAAGTTTCACAAATAGGAAACCTATAGGAGAGGTTGGTTGTTGTGAATCACGGATGGCAGAGCGAATCCACTGATGGACCGACAGGTGGTTGGAGTTGTTTTTTTCCGGAATGGTTGCAATGGTTGCAGTGGTCACCTTACCACAACTGCTGGATGTAGTGTGGTGTAGTGGTTGTAGTTGTAGTTGCAGTTGTAGCTGTAGTTGCAGTGTAGTGTAGCTGTAATGTAGTGTAATTAGTGTATTTGCAAGTGCAGTTGCAGTTGTAGTCGTGGTGTGGTGTGGTGTAATTAGCGTAGTGTAGTGCATCGTAATGTCGTGTTGTGTTGTTTAGCGTAGTGTGGTATAGAGTAGTGTAGTCTAGTGTAAGGTAGTGTAGTTGTAGTTGTGACGTAGTGCAGTGTAATTAGTGTAGTGTAGTGTAGTTGTAGTTGTAGTGTAGTGCAGTGTAATTAGTGTAGTGTAATGTAACGTAGTGTAGTTAACGTAGTGTAGTGTAGTGTAGTGCAGTGCAGTGTAGTGTAGTGTAGTGTAGTGTAGTAAGTGTCGTGAAGTGTAGTGTACTGTAATGTCATGTAGTGGTAGTTGTAGTTGTAGGTGTAGTTTTAGTTGTCGTTGTCCTTGTGGATGTAGTTGTAGTTGTAGTTCTGGTTCTAGTTCTACTTCTATTTCTATTTCTTTTTCTATCTCTATCTCTATCTATCTATCTATCTATCTGTCTATCTATCTATCTATCTACCTATCTATCTATCTATCTGTCTATCTATCTATCTGTCTATTTATCTATCTATCCATCTATCTGTCTATCTATCTATCAATCTATCTATCTGTCTATCTATCTATCTATCCATCCATCCATCTATCTCTCTATCTATTTATCTATCTATCTATCCATCCATCCATCCATCTATCTCTCTATCCATTTATCTATCTATCTATCCATCCATCCATCTATCTCTCTATCTATTTATCTATCTATCTATCTATCTATCTGTCCATCCATCCATCCATCCATCCATCCATCTAATCTATCTCTCTATCTGTCTATCTATCTGCGAGCTTGAAAACGCAGCTATTTTGCGACGCTTCCTCAATTTTTGAACTTAACATCCAAAACAAAGCAATTCTGCGAGACCTCCTCAAGTTTGAACTTGACAACATCAAAAACGAAGCAATTCTGCGAGACTTCCTCAAGTTCTGAACTTGACAACATCAAAAACAAAGCAATTCTGCCAGACTTCCTTCAAAAATAAAAAGTTGAGTGCGGAGCTGACGGCCTCGTACCAATGCGTTTTGCGATTTTTCCACTCCACCTGTCTAAAGTATTGTGCCTGCCACGAAAAAGTGATGCCAGGTCATACGAAGTGCTGCACCTGTCGCGCAAAACCATCTCAGCAAAAACTGAAGATCTGATGCTCCAAAATCCAACCCTTCTCAGGAAATCAGCGCCCTGACCTCCAAACATCTCTGATGAACATGCTTCAATATCAATATCAATATGAAAATCAATATGTGTGTGTATATATATATATATATCTAAACTATAGCGACCTCACTTCGACCATCCCTGAAGTGATGGGTTATGGCGGTAAGCATCCCAAAATAACCCCAATTCAGGCTAGGGAATCGTTATGACTTATCCAGATAGGAGAGAGAGAGATATATATATATAGGACATTATAGGACAAACATGGGATGCAATGGGAAAATGATGGTATATAATGATGGATAGTGCACAATAATGGGTTTTGGCCGAGAAACATGGGATGAATCAATGTGTAGAATGAATAGAATCTTGATTCAGCAAGCACATCTGGACGATTCAGAAACCAATTCCCCAGTCGTTTCAGAAACCAACATACAAGGGAAACATGATGGTGAAAATCGTGGTTAGCAAATTAATGGGAACCTGATGGTGGACATGATGATTGCAATTCTTATTTCACCATCAACACTATATATGGGTATGGATCAATACCTATTTTACGACATTATGCGAGTATGAACTTCCATTTGCCAACTATTTTCGGCATATATGTCACCAAGGGACCAAGATGATCACCCGATGAGATACTCATGGGAACACATCATAAAATTCTCAGTTTTTTCATAGGATATTACCGGAAAAATGATGGTTGATATATGCTTGAAGGCTGGTATTTCGCCATCAAATATTGTGGTAGAGTAGCATTTTGTATACATTGGCAGAGTATTCGGTATCTACGGATATGCAAGAATATGACAATATACTCGGATTGGGTATGCGGTATATATATATATTATATGTATATGGACAAATCATGTTTCGACCTCACGTCGTGCTGTCACGACGTGAAAAACTATCCCACAGTGACCAAAATTTGAGGCTGGTGAACTATTTCAATTCATCCATATGTATATTTTAGATATACAACGTATATATATATATATTTATGCACATAGGTACGCAAATATATGTGTATATAATTATATAATATATATATATACATATATGTATACGTATATACAAGATATACATAATATATATATATATTGATATTGTCAAGGGTATGGTGTCATTCACACTTTTTATTTTTTGGCCGGCTTATCTCTCTAATGCTGGTTCGTATTTTGACTTCACATCTTCTTTTCCATCCTCTTTTGATCTACTCCCTCTTGCTCCAATCGTCTAATTTTTATATGGTTAGTAAGTGGATTTGGGCCCCGAAATGAGACGTTGTTATTTGTGAGATACACTCGTTTTTTTTTTTAATCATTTGGGTCAAATCCATGAAGGCGATGCACCTGCTACCCCTACTCCAAACTGTCGTTTCTAGATGATTTCCATGATTTCATATGGGAATGGGTCACAATTTCAGACCTGGAATGTCTATTTTTAGTTTCTAACAGTTCTAAGTATTGGGGGTATCCACTTTTGACTACCCATATACCCTCCGGTCAGACTTAGCAGTTTGTAAACTGAAACATTTCCATTTTCAGTTTGGGAGTTATCTTCGAAGTAAATGGGCCGTGGTTTCTGCCATGTTAAATTGCCGGAGAGTACACCCGTTTTTTCTGTGAACGGGCCAGGAACCTCACAGAAGAGGACTTGGCCAATCTCTCATGCATAGGCCGGCAGGTCTGGTTATGGTTGTTTTATCGAATAGCGCAGAAGTGTCCATATTCTCCTTAAGCTACACTCCTACACCAACCTACTGGGTCAAAATAAGTATCCTGTATGGACAATGGTCCCATATATATAAATATATACATACGTACATATACATACATATACATACATATACATACATTTACATACATATACATACATATACATACATGATTTGCCTGGTAAAAATGGTGATTTTCCATTGACAACTGTTAAATCACCATAGGGTTTTTCCCATTCAGTTGACTAGAGTTGAAAAGTCATGGATTTTCATAAGTAGAATCATAGCATGTCATGGATTTTCATAGCTAGAATCATAGCATTTCATGATAGCATTGCATGGTAGCATTTCATGATAGCACTTCATGTATTTCCATAATTAGTTGAATGGCAACACAGCATTTTCATTCAACTTAAAGTTCTCAATACCATATTCACTTCAAACTTGATAATGGTTTTTCATTTTGGTGACTTCAGCATAAAGCTGCAGGAAGGGCTCCCGTAGATATAGGTTGATTCATAACAACATCTAACTATAGTTATAGTTGTATCGACTATAAACCCTAGTTAATCAAATCATAAGTCAACTTAGCTAACTACGGGGCTCCTTCCTGTGGCTGGCAGGCAAGCCCCAAGCTGGCATGCCCTGGCGTTCTCACTGGGGAAGCTGGGCAATGTAGGGCCATGGGTCGAAAAATGCGGGAGGCAGATGCCCAAAATCGCTGTACATTCTTAACAAACATGTTCAAAGAGTAAACGGTGATGAGGATGAGGATGAGGATGAGGATGAGGATGATGATGATGATGATGATGATGATGATGATGATGATGATTGTTATGATCATTTTGACCATTATCAATATATGTATTCTATGATGATTATTACCATCATTATGACGATGATCATGATCAACCCAGAGATTGTTGGGCATATTTTCAGACAAACCCGTTCCCAGCTGGCTGGAGCTGTTCAGCAAGGTTTGTGCACGGGAGGGTACAGCTTCATTCTTGTTTGGACAGAAAGCAGAGACATCTCATGTGACACCACTTTGGTTGATGCTTTACATCCACATGAGCAGTGTGTATAATATATATATATAGACATATTATATAAACATAGACATATTACATATACATATACATATTATATATACATATTATATATATACATATGTATATATATATATATGTACATACATATATGTAAATATATATATGTATATGTACATAAATATATGTGTATATTTATATATATGTATATATATATGTACATATATATATATATGTATGTATGTAATGTATGTATGTGTGTATGTGTGTATGTGTGTATGTGTGTATGTATGTATGTATGTATGTAATGTTATGTATGTAATGTTATGTATGTAATGTTATGTATGTAATGTAATGTAATGTACTGTACTGTAATGTAATGTAATGTAATGTATGTAATGTATGTAATGTATGTAATGTATGTATGTATGTATGGTAATGTAATGTAATGTAATGTAATGTAATGTAATGTATGTATGTATGTATATACATATGTATATACATATATATATATATAGAGAGAGAGAGACATGGATATATGGATATGTGGGTATCGTCATCATCCATGACCTGGGAATCCGTTTTGAATTTGTCGCCAAGGGAAGCTTCCGAGGAAGCTGGCCTTGGCTGGTCAAGACAGAGTCAGGCTGAGGAAACCTGAAGGAACTTGGGCGGGCCTGGGGGGGTTGGTTTTGCGTGACATCGCCGATGAAAAGATGTAGATTTTCTGCGAGTTTTTCACGTAAAATTCACACTGTCTTCCAGCAAAATGTCGATGGTCACAAAGAAAGCTTGATAGTTGAACTTTATCCGATTGCATTCGAAATTTCAACTTGGATGTGCATCCCATATATAAGTAGGGATATTCCATATATGTCTGGGGCTATAACGCATTTACTAAGTGTGATGCACCCGCAAGAACTTTCCCGTCGGGGCTGTGGCCACCAGGTCATGGTCAGTGGAACATCAAGGCCTCCAATGTGTTCAGCAAACACCTGCCTCTTGGTCCACCAAAAAATTGGGAGGTCCTGTCATGTTTCGGAGAAAGATGAGTGATGATCTATGATGATCTATGATTAGAATGATTGGAGATCATCTTTCTGTAATCCATAACACCATCAGGTTTTCAATGGTTTTCATTACAGTAATCTTTCTGATCGTATGATTGCTGTCAAATTCTTCATCTTTCTTCATGATGAATGTCCAGTGGATGGAAAAAACGGCAAGGAGAGCTGTGGACTCCCCGGACTTTGAGAAGTTCCATTTCTTCGGGCCGTCGCCCAACATGCCGTGCTTGTCGAACCTGAATCGCGCTCTCGCTTCCCAGGACCAAAGGTTCCGGTCCTTGGGGCGACCAAAGCCTGCCAAAGGTATCCAGAGGTTATAGGCTATTGAAATGTATTGATATGTAATGAATGTATGCACGTATATACATAGATATCATATATTATATATGTATGTATTTATGTATGTATGCATGCATGCATAAATACATATATATTATAAATATCATATTATATATATATGCATTTATGTATAAATACTTATATATATATAAATATCATATATTATATATGTGTGTAGGCATAAATACACATATATATATGTATATTATAAATATCATATTATATGTATATAAGCATGTGTGTATAATTACATATATATATATATATATAAATATCATATATTATATGTATGTATGTATTGTAATGTAATGTAATGCAATGCAATGCAATGCAATGCAATGTAATGTCATGTCATGTCATGCCATGCCATGTGATGTCATGTCATGTCATGTCATGTATGTAATGTATGTAATGTATGTAATTATGTATGTAATTATGTATGTATGTATGTATGTATGTATGTATGTATGTATGTATGTATGTATGTATGTATGTATGTATGTATGTATGTATGTATGTATGTATGTATGTATGTAATGTATGTACTGTATGTAATGTATGTAATGTATGTAATGTATGTAATGTATGTAATGTATGTAATGTATGTAATGTATGTAATGTATGTAATGTATGTAATGTATGTAATGTATGTAATGTATGTAGTGTATGTAATGTATGTATGTATGTATGTATGCATGTATGTATGTATGTATGTAAGTATGTATGTATGTATGTATGTATGTATGTATGTATGTATGTATGTATGTATGTATGTATGTATGTATGTAAAGTATGTAAGTATGTAAGTATGTAAGTATGTAAGTATGTATGTATGTATGTATGTATGTAAAATACGTATATGCATATATATATATATTATAAATAAACAAACAAATAGATAAATCGAAATACATAAATAAATATCTATAAATACGTACATAAATCATAAATAAATAAATAAACAAATTAATAAGTAAAGAAATAAATAGGTATATAGAGATAGAGAATTGTATTTAACTATCTTCGGCCCGCCTACATTCCATGAAACTTGTGGTTGACTCTTCACTGAAATCCTGAGATTTTCTCAGCCGGCCTTGAGTTCGCTTGAACGTTACTACCTCCAACAGGGACTGGCAAGCAAATTCTGCACACCGGCATACTGTCAAGAGAGCGCCTGCATGTGGAGTGCACGCAACATATTCGCTACGAATATGTAAAGCTCAAGTTCGCAGTGAATGATAAACAGAGTGCTTCTCCAATTAACGTATCAGGAGACGATTTGATCGCTCCTTCAAAGATGGACGCGGCGGAAGATGCCGATGTCAATCGCTCTTCGCGACGTCAATCCTAAGCCATGAGATTTTTTGAGATGAACATGGGACATGTTGTAAACGACTCTGCAAACTTCTGTTCGTTAAACTGCGACTTGAGTAAGTAGTTTTGTAAGGTACCCTACGCTGCATGTACCTACTATTACCTACTGGTATCGAGAATCTGTTGTGCAGTTGCAGGTCTCCAAACCTTGTGCTGCTTGTCCTGAACAAACGCTGACCGGTATGTAGTGTAGGTCTCTGCTGAGTTGTGCCCAAAGTTGTGCTTCTAGTGGTGTAGTTGCTCCATGGATGTTTCCGCGGTTGGCAGTCGTGGGAACTCTGAGTTTTGGTTCTCCTCCAGCTGCGGCAATGTTTGTCCTTGTTGTACTCTCTCAACTGCTGTTGCTTTGTTGCCTTGTAGCTTACCATCTGACTGTATCTTTCAAGAGGCCTGGATTGAACCCAGTCATGTACCAAAGCAAACATGTAGCTTACAAGTGAACTGTGCTCAGACATGTACACATCGTATGTTTAATACCCGTCATCATTATCGTTATCATCGTTATCATCATTGTCACCGTTGTTGTCAGAATCATCATCCTGTCCGCCTTTTGGGCCCTTGCGATGCCCTCGGGCGGCACATGGTTCAGAAATTTTGCTGCGAAGTGGTCATTGCGTATAATTTGAAATTCAGTGACTATGCCAACACGTTTGCCATAATCCAGAAACAGATCACCGATTTGTTGCAACGTCAAGTTTGGCCAACAATAGAGAGAGGCTTAGTTCGGTCGATGTATTTGCAGGGTAAATAGGCATGTGTCCGTGTATATGTATATGTATATGTATATGTATATGTATATGTATATGTATATGTATATGTATATGTATATGTATATGTATATGTATATGTATATAAATGAATATGTATACGTATATGTAAAAGTATTTTTTCTTTTAAATACATGATATATATATATATAGATAGATAGATAGATAGATAGATAGATAGATTGGATTGGATTGGATTGGATTGGATTGGATTGGATTAGATTGGATTAGATTGGATTAGATTGGATTAGATTAGATATACATACATATACATATATATGTACAAACCGTTATCCACGTGTACACTATTTCTTTGCAGTTTGAAAACCTACGGAACTTACCAGGAGATTCGTCAACAGCTGGGCGTTGTCATCGGCACCTTGGTACCTTTACTGCCTTTTCTGGTGTCCCTTGGCGAAACCACTGTTGACACATTTCACCATGATACCCGGCCTGGTAAACATACACAAAACTATGGAAAGATCCACCATTTTAATGGGTAAATCAACTATTTCGACTGGGCCAGTTTCAAGAACTATGTTAGTTTGCCAAAGGGTATGTGTGTATATTATGTATGTATGTATGTATATGTGTATATATATGGGTAAACTATTGTGACCTCGCTTCGGAACGCTGGAATCATGATTAGATTGCGGGGAATCATACCGAAATGGCCGAATTTTCAGTAGCTTTGCTGTTTTTCGGTGCGAAACATGGAAGATGGGCGGCCGAACTTTTCAGGTCAGTGAAATATTGTCTGGTTGGTGGTTTCAAACATGATTTTTATTTTCCATAGTATATGGGATAATCCTTCCCATTGACTAATATTTTTCAGAGGGGTTAAAACCACCAACCAGTTATGATTTGACCCAGATGAAGGAGTGTTTATGACACGATGCCAATGTTGTATAATGTTGGCATTCTCATCGGGCATTGTTTTTTGGCGGAGAGAGACTGGAAGATGGGACAGATTCTCCAGAACTCCAATTTGACAGAGACCACTGGGGGCAACTAGTTGGCATCGCTTACCAGATTGCCATTGTCAGATGCACACAGTTTTTTTCCCCCCACCGCAACGGAAACAGCTGTGACCGAAATTTCTGAGGCGAATTTACCAGCACAAGAGATGGTATCACTATACCAATCCTCATACAGATGCTGAGATCATCTTGAGAGTTGTGCGAATCCATCCCATGAAAGGAAAGTAGAACAGCCCAAAAAATGGGTGAAGATGGGGTTTTGGACCCAAACATTTCTGTTTCAGACTTGTTTCCGTGGTTTCCCTTCTCTCCTTTTTCTACGGCTATGTTGAGGGGGTCATTTGGCCAACAATCCAAGGGGAAATCCACAGTGACTGGAAAATCTCGAAGGAAGAGCTGGATGTGTTTTTGGGTCCCTCAAGGATGACTTTCGTTAGAGATATTTGCCAACGAACATCTCATCTATAGGTGGATACCCTCTGGTAAACGTTTACAGTTTGCGAACTGGAACATGGCCCAGTCGAAATAGTGGATTGACCGAACTTGAACATGCTGGATCTTGGTGGATCTTTCCATCGGTTTTTTGGGACTGTTTACCAGGCCGGGTATCTATTGATCATCATGGACAATTATAGATAATTGTGGATAATTATGGATAACTATGGATAATTATGGATACTTATTGATCACCATGGACAATTATGTCCAAAAAATTTCCCAAGGATGAGATGTTTGCGCAGCTGGCGGAAGGCGAATCCAGCGACTCCACTGCCTGGGAACCCATTCAGAGTATGGTCTCTGTGACTCGCCCTCGGTTCGATGGGAAGCCTATTTCGGGAAGCGGAGGGAACTACCCTCTGGTAAACTAACATAGCTATGGAAAATGGCCATAGAAATAGTGGATTTACCCATTGAAAATGGTGATTTTCCATAGTTATGTTAGTTTACCAGAGGGTACTATTCTAATTCATGAAAAATTGGAAAGGAACTGGAATATTCCAGGGAAACCTTTGCCTCAACCATTCTTTGCAGGCTGTCAAAGGTCCGTGTAAATTTTGCCTCAACCATTCTTTGCAGGCGGTCAAAGGTCCATGTAAATTGGAATCGAACATGCGTGTCTTTGGGTAATGTTGACGTTGCTGGAACTTTCATTGGGTTTACCAGCTTCTCATGGTAGCGCGAGGATTGCCATTCATTTCGGGACATCTTTTTTTCTTTGTTTTCATGTGCATTTGTTTGGTCGCAGCTTGCGAGTTCAGCAGCTTGACCACCTTTAATACACATTCATGCTTGGTCTGAAGTCTAGTTTTTGGTCCATGCCATAATTCAATTCGTAGATCCCTCAATCACCAGCACTCTGCTACATTTTCACCAGCAATGTCCAACCAATTGACTTGGTGAAGTGGGGCAAGTGGGGCACCAGCCTACCATAGGTGATAGTTATTGGAGTTATAAACCACTGTTGGGGGGCACCACCTTTTACTCCAACCAACATTTCTAGTGACACACTTGTTGAGTCCCTTGAGTCTATCCTAAAGTGTTGACACCACCTGCAGGTTAGACCCAAAAAACATCGTGGTTTCCCTACCAGAAGCCATAGACAAAGCGTAGACAAACCATAGACAAACCATCGTTAACCTAGTTATAAACCAAGTTAGTCTAGTTATAAACCATATGATTCCCCTAGTTTATAGACATTTTAGACATTTATAGATGATCTTCCTATTAAAACCACTATTTTTGTTGGTTGGGGGATTCCCCAGCCCCCAGTCAGCTTAATGGCCTTGGGTTTTCCACAGTAGTTCACCTAGTGGTGTGGGTCTGGGTCTGGTCTACCTAGTGAAAATAAACTTTATATAAACCATAGTTTAACCGTTTCAACTTAAACCCATAGAAACTAGGTATATGTAGTTCATTGATTTCCCAGCTATATATATATATATAAACATCTCAAAACCTCTATTTTTCCCACTCAACCATGGTGATTTTCCATGATTTTCCAGCTATTGGCTGGTGATTTCCCATGGTCCGACTGTCTGTCTGACAGGTGAACTTGAATCTGGGTGGTGACGAGGTGCCCGGCCACGGCAACGGCGGCCTGCTTTGGTGCGGCGAGGTGGCGAACGGCGGCGCGCCACGCTGGGTGCCCGCGCCCAAAGCTTCGGTGATGCTCGGGTTTTGCGAACCGGTTTAGCCATGGAAAATGTCCCATTTATAGATGGTTTACCTGGGTTTACCAGTTTACCTATTAAAAATGGTGATTTTCCATGGCTATGTTAAATAACCAGAGGGTAACCCATTTATAGATGGTTTACCTATTATAAATGGTGATTTTCCACAGAACAAATCTGGGGGATTTCACTGATTTCACCCAGAAAAAAGTGGTAGATTTTTTTTTCCGCAAGAAAACCATATTTGGGAATTTCAACTGACACCCGTTTAATTTCGGGATGAAATCCCTGCGAAAGTGGGATTTTTTTCGCAAAGCTCAAGAAATTTCACCAATGTTTTTAGCGATTTTTTCGCAAGCAAAACGATGGTAGAATTCCCATACAATGAGAACATCATGGGCATGTGATGGGACAAAGCCAACAAGAATGGGAACGTCATGCAACCAACAATCTGTTTTTTTTGGGGTTTCCTACAGTGGGTGACCCCAAAATCATCCAAATGTGTCAACATGATTTTCGGAGGGGCGCCTCAATTTAGCTAAGCCACGGCCATATGGTTTAATACATGATTTTCCAAACATGATGAGTGCCAATTGGGGTGATACCCCCAAAAATTGGGCAAGCCCATGTTGTTTACCTTGGTTTGCCAATTTTTTTAAAGAAGCAAACCACGTCTGATTTGACTCATGGTTTACTATTTTGTTTTGGCAAGAACATCTTTTTTGTTTCTTGAGGATTTGAATGATTTGTATATTTCCATGTCCATTTTGGTAACGAAAATTGAAATTTGCCATTTTTCTGAGTTTGTCATAATCCCGTCCCCGCAAAATTCCACATCCCCCCAAAATAGGGTTTTTCTTGAGGATTTACATGATTTACAGCTGGTTGGTGGTTTCAAACATTTTTTTTTATTTTTCCATAATATATGGAATAATCCTTCCCATTGACTTTCATATTTTTCAAGATGGTTAAAACCACCAACCAGACAGGATTTACATATTTAAGGGAGCATCGAAGGTGAGTCGGGTGGCACTCAGGATTATTTTCCGCATCAGCAATCACTCCTGGCACGCAGTGAGTCCTGGACGTCGCGAACCCACAGGTGTCGGCGAGACTGGGGGATTGCAAAGAGGGCTGGACTGAGCTAAGCGGTACAGAAAAATGATGGGAACAGCCAAAACTAGGGACCCCAGTCATCCACATTTCCTAGCTCGCAAATGCTGAGGGCACTTTTCTGCAATCTCGATACAAAATGCCTACGTCGGCAGGTGAATGTTGGAATGATGACCTGTGCAGATAAGATTCAGATACTACACTTGATCATAGCCAGTGTTTGGCCTTTCATACTCCCCCTTTTTTCGGGAGAAAAAACTCAATGTAGGCTCAAGGCATGTTTGTACATTCTATGTGCCCTACAAAGGTTTCTTGCCAGTGGCCCTGTAGTGCCAATATTCGGCACGCATGCGATCAGAGCCCCAGCCCCTACCGCTATAACTCTTCTGGAATTCGTTCCAGGAATTTTGATGTGAGACACTACTGCCCCGCTCATGTTCAGCTGCAGCCGCACTGCTGGTGCCCGATCGTGTCCTCGAGCTAGAGGAAATAGAACCAGCCGCCGCAGAAGCAGCACCACTCTGCCCGGCATCACCACTTTGCCCACTCTGCCCGGCAATGCTGAGGCCCGATCGTGAAGACACCTGCTGTGATGATGATGATGACGCAGTCTGTTCAACCTCAGCTCTGTTGGATCCCGCTCTAGACCCCATGCCCTTTGATGACGATCCTTTTGCCGCACTGCTATAGCCCGACTGTGGCCCGCTTGTCAACGTTGAAGCTGCAAAAAGATTCCTGGTCGTTCCAAGCATGGACTGCCAACTCCGTTCAATCGCAGCCTCATCAAAATCATCATCTTGTTTGGCTCTGCCGCCTTTTCCCTTCTTCTTTCGCCGTTTTGGAAGTTGATCACTTGTGTGAAGCTTCACAGGTCGCTGAGGCTTGTGATCATCCTCACTGGAAGACCAGTTTGCCACGTCACGACCATGCATTTTGTTGTGTGGATCATGTTGAGCTGCAAGGCTTTGCGCCACCATCTCTTGAATCTCTGACATGTTCACCGGCGAAGCATACGTGGCCCGCTGTTGATTGATTCTACCACGCCTCTCTGCTGTTTCTTCTCCGCTGCTATGCTGCAACATCCTAAGTCGAGGAGGTTCAGCTTGTCCTTTGATTCCATCTCCATCATAGCTACCCGATGACCCCAGCAGTCGATTGTGAAGCCAAATGCCGCTTCGGACGATCGTGCTAAAAATGTAGACTGCTCCCACGCTCATCAGGATTAAGCCAATGGTCCAAAACCAGGACTGCTCTTCGTTCTCCTCATCCTCCTCCGTTGCAGCTGCGCCAGAGAGCATCGTAGCACCCACCAGCATAGCGATCTTCGCACTTGCTTTGTCACTTCCTCCTATGATCTCACTTTTGGACTTCTTCGCATCAGCCACAACGCAAAGATCTTGCAACGCTCGTTCAAAAGAGGCACCATCAACGATCTTGGTGAAGGAGTCCGCCACAAGCTCACGCCCCTTCAAGTGACCAAGATGCCATTCATTTTGCCAGAGTGCTGATCTCAAAATCGCCGCTCTGATGCGAAGATGTCTCGTTCGCCAGCTTCCCTGACCTTCTCCCGTTGCCAAGCTGATTGCCGCTGCATTGTCTCCCCAAAGTCTTTTGATGAGCACCTCTTCCGATTCTTTCCGAACTGCAGCTACCAAACTAGCTGTAGCCCTTCCACCCACCAAAGCTTCGCAGAGACCAACAAGCTCGCTCTCCGCTGTGGACTGTGTTGGAAATGGCTGTCTGTTGGTGTTCCACATGACTGGAGCGCCAGCGTAGAAGTACACTTGGCCTTGGACTGATCGATAGCCCTTTGTTGAAGCATAGGAGATGTCTGAGAAAGCCTCAACAGTGCGTTCACATCTAGGCAGATCAAGTTGATCTCGTGCACCATGAACCGGACCAACAGTCGCTGCATAGATCAAACCCAACGTGGGCCTTTGAAGATAGGCAATGATCTTGTTGCCAATGGATATGGTAAGTTCAGGCATCTTCGTGCACAGCCTCGACATAGCTGCGACCCCCACTGAAATCTCTGGTCTGGTTCTTGTGGCAAGCCATAGCAAGGCACCCGTGCATGCCTGAGCCTTCTTCACCAACTCTGCATCTTCCGAGCGCTGAACCTCAGCTTCTTCTTCAGGAGTGGGCAACTTGAAGTCTAACTGACGTCGGACTTCAGTCACATTCCATTTCTTTGCCAACTCCTCCTCATAGCTATGTTGATGAAGTCTGAAGCCACCTCCATGCAGATCCTCGTTCTGCTGAATCTCAAAGCCACAAAAAGACACTGATGATTGCAAAGTGGCCCGTTCAGCTGGAGCACATTCCCAAACCGCTGCAATCGCCTGCAAAGCACACTGAGCTGTCTTCTCATCAGCAGCCAGCAAAACATCGTCGACGTAAACTGTCATGATGCCCCGATCTTTTTCCTCCCCCGTTTCCTGACACCTCTCGCTCAAATGCCACAAGTGTTGATCAGCCGCTCTTTGAAAGCTACCCTTCCAACGCCTGCCAGCTTCTTCTCTCAGCCAGGTCATAGTTGGAATCACCTGATCCCGATGGTCAGCCCAATCACGTGGGCTGGAAACTAAGCCATACATAGCTGCATCGACCAACCACACATCCTGAGACGTAGCCACACCAAGCTTAACGTAGATGGAGGGGATGGTCATGGCGATGAGTTTCGATCGATCTTTTCTCTCAGCATTGAGGAAAGCACATTTTATGTCTGTGGTGAAGATTGCCCATCGTTTCAATGCCGCATGACGAGCGACGCATCGGATCTGTGATGCATCACAACCTCCAGCATAGGTCGCTGTGGCCACCTCATCCTCAAAATTTCCACAGATGCATGCTCTCACTTTCCTCTTGCCACCCATCTTTCTCGTGAAGACCACCTTGCTCGGCAGCTCCTCATACTTGACTCCTCCATCACAAGCCCACTGTTGAGCTTCGCCTCGTGAAACTTGGCGCACTGCCCGTTTCTCCTCCACAATAGACCGATACTCACTCATCATGGCCTCTTTCCAGTCGTTCCACTCATTGTACACTTGCTCTGCAGTGACTGTCTTTGTGACAAGAAAGTTCTCTTCCTCAGCCATGTGCTTTTTCTCAAGGTCCAAAGCTCGTAGTTGAAGTTCCACATCGAACTTCTGATGTGCCAACATAGACAGTGAAGGAATGCACGATGCTTGCTCCACATCCATATCATCCATCAAGACGCACTCCTCAGACAAAACTGTGGAAATTTCCTTGTGCATACATAGGAGTCGCTTTTCTTCTAGATCATCACCTTGTTGTCCATGTTGTTGTTCATACTTTGACCACCCATGCTCCCCCGAGTTGGAACCCAACTCGATTTTTGCAACTTGTGGGACGCCTTGTTTGTATCGCAGGCGCCTTCTTGGAGCTTCAGCCAGGTGTTGGTCTCGAGCTGCATGAAACCTCTCTTGAACTACTATGTCAACATCAGCATGATTGCCCAGCTCCTCGTTCTCAACCACCACGTCAGTTGAGGCCAAAAACTTGCCATCCTCCAATTGAACGCAGTAGCCACCAGATGTCAAGGAAGACCAAGGATCAGGGCCCATGACACGTCCAGGAGCTCGTTCCCACCTCCATGCTGCATAGCGTTCATTCCAAGACTTTCTTTTCACCAGAACCTTGGTGTAAAAAGGCAGCAGCTCAGGCACCGGATATCCAACTTGTTGCAATTGCCATCGCAAACGCCGTTCTCCTGCATGCCTGACCAAAATCGGCCATAGTTCCTCCGCCACATTGTGAGCCCTCATGAGAACCTTTGCATGCCGCTTGACAATGCCGATCTCATTCTCGGCCCTCCCATTGCTTTTCCAATCACTTCCTGTTGTGTAGGTGGTCACAATATCACGACAGTGGCACCATGCTTGCACTGACTTGGATGTCAGTTCTCTCGCCCTGTCGGCGTGAAGCCGCAGCACAGGCAGACCAAGGCTGCGTATTTTGGAGTAGATCTTGCTCAAACCCTCCATGATGTGACCAGTGGCTCTCGATGGCACCACCTCGACAAAGGTCAAGGTTTTCACTTTGACTTGCTTGCATTGCTCCACCACCTTCATCCAGCTGTCATACGCCACCTTTGCCCTCTCCGTTGCTTTTTGATCCCAATCCCCCACGTCCTCTTCCTCATTGACTTCAAGTCGTGGGAGTTCTCCATCTTCCACGTCTCCGTCAACTCCGTCCTCATCCACCATCTCACCAAGTGCTGGTAGCGGAGCATCTTCAGATGGCTGTGGTTGACCAGGGCCGCATAGAGGGATGTCATCAGTGGTTGTTGGAAAGGTGTAGCAACCCAACAAGACATATGAGCCTGAAGTGCCAAACTGGTCCTTGCCCTTCTTGAGTTTGCCAGACAGATCTATCGCCAAACAGTATGCGCTTGGATGTTGAATCCTCCTATGCTGTCGGGACTTACCTGCAGCCTCAACACATACCTTGCAATCTCTCCTCATTGGTTGATGATCATGAAGAATATGTGATTTCCATTTCGCCAAGGCGACTTCTGAGAGTGGGCATAGTTGAGCCCCACATTCTTTGGGCTTTACGTCATCACCATTGGAGTCCCGAGGTGCCTCCTCCGCAGAGCCCAGTGCCCCAAGGTGACAACGCCCATCATTCAGCTGGGAAAGGTTTCTCCTTAAACCTTCCAGCAATGCTGCTTTGACGCCCGGAGCCCATTCGGACCACGTGGCAGATTCAGCAATCCTCTGTGGCAGCGATTGATGTCTCCAAGTGTCTTGATGACCAGGTTCACGTTGAGTCTTGGCGCCATGCAGCTGCTCAAAGCCAGTGATGTTGTGGCCAAAGCTGGTTGGCTTGGGCTTTACATGTCCATAAGCTCCTTGCTCAAAAGACGTGATCACCAACTCATACTTTTCTTGAAAGTGTTTCCAAGCCGTCGTGCGCCATACACTCATGAACTTGTACTTGTTGACATCCTGCTGAGATCTGTAC